CGTCAGCATATAGTATTATGATCTTTTAAGAAAAACGGTGTACTTACCTGACAATAGGTTCCTGGCTATATTCCCTATTTTTTTTCTATTCTATTACAATGAGATCATATTACTTAAAGGTACACATAATTCTAAAAATAAGCTACTAAGCTATTCAAATACTATCTAAGAACTCCCTTTGTAGAGAAAACAAACTTCGTTGTAATACTTTTTCTTACAGAATCTTTGTACTTTTTCTATTCCTATTTGAATGTGAAACGTCAGCAGCATTTCGACACGGCTTGGCTTTGTGCCCCAGGCCTGCTAACTGGTAACTGCTAACTGGGAACTGGTAACTCTCTTTGACTAGCTTTCCTCCAGGACTCCATCTACCTCCCTTATCCTTTATCATCTATCCTCTAGCCTTATTCCTGGCTCGAAACTCTTTACGAAAGACGAGAAAAAAATCCCAGACTTTGAGCGGTGGCTCTGTTTCATTTGCTAGCCATAGATCCCAACTGGAGTGCAATTTGTCTTGTTTCAGGCAGATTCCGATAGGATAGTCAATGGATTGAGCCCACTTACATTTCTGTTATTCCAGCCGCGTTGTTATTGCTGTTGTTCTTCCTGTTGTTGTTGTTGTTGTGATTGCTCTGCCTGCTTTGGCTTTGCTGTTGTCACTCGTCATTCCAATTGGAAGGCGTGAGTGCTGAGGAAAGGGAAGATTACAGTTATAAGCCGAGAGAGAGAGTGAAAGAACCTGCCAGTCAAAAGGTAATTCCTCAATTACACTAAAACAGGGACGGGATGAAAAAATAAGATTCAAGTAGGGATTTTGACATTGTAGTTATATAAAATAAAAAAAGAAATAATAATGGTTTAATAGAGCCTTTTTCCTTTTCATTTTATCTTTTCAATGATGATATAAACTTGCTTTGTTTAGTGTAGTATATACTTTATAAGTCGCCATTTACACTTTCGATTTCAAGCCGTGTTAGGCTTGTGGCTTACGCAAAAGTTGGTATTTGTGATGCTAAATGGCCTCGATCCAAATACCAATCCCAATTCCTATCCCGATCCAAAACCATATCCTCTACCAAAATGCAGCTAAGTGAAACAGCACGGAAGATAACAACTTAAGCCGATTTCGTGCCCTGTATTTATTTGGCACGCCAACTTTTTAGCTAAGTGCAAAACAATTTACCTAAATTCCCACAACACACACACGCAAACGCACCCACAAACACTAACGCACTAGCATCACACAAATACATACATGTTTGCTTAATTGCTCCCTCAGCCCCTTGTTGTTGTTGGGGCAGTCGGTTTTTGTTGGTACTCTTATTGTTTTTGTGCTTGTTGTTGCATCGCTTGAAAAGCCTGCCAAAGCAGCTCTGCACTTTTGCGGTATCTGGTTTTTGTGCATGTAATACCCTGTAATTGAGAGCAGGGGAATGTATTGAATGCACTGAGCAATCTACAGGCATTACACGTGCTCTTGCATATTTTGCCTTTTTCTGCATAAAACTAACATTTCGTCTTAGAGCTTTTTGGCTTATGTCCAATATGGTTTTTTCTTTTCATAAAATCACTTCAAAAACGTGCAACAAGAATAAAGGGGTTACTTTTTGAATTAAGTTATACTTTTCAGAAACAAACTCTTTTTTAACGCATCAAATAATCTGTAAAACCGATTCTAAGAATCTGTGAATAGTCAACATTTAACCAGTAATGGTTTAAGAACTGTTATTAAGAAGATAATAAAATCATTAAGGGAAATACGAGACTCTTAATATGTTTCAAATGAAGCAATTTAAAAGTCTCATTATTTCTCTTATAATAATTATGGGTTTTCCACTTCGGAACTATTTTACATTTAGCTTATTTTCCCCCCATTTCTTTATTTACAGGGTAATCCCTTCTTTGCAATTGAATTGTAAAGCACTGGCTCAAACTTTCCCCCCGGTAGTTTTATTATGCTAATGCAGCGAGCGCTGAGGTATGTAACTCCCACCTGCCGCGTAGTCATGTGTGTTGATTGGCGCCATCCACCTCGTAAACCCCTTACTTCCCCTTAAAAACACACACACACACATAATGGGGGAGGGAAAGTTTAGGGGGTATGTTTGGTGGGCGGTTTATACGTAAAACAATAGCGCCTTGTAGCAAATGAAAACTGTGAAAACTGTGCCAGTGAGTGCATTTGTGTAATGCCTTCTAAGCGGCATTAGACTAAGCCAAAAGTTTGATGGAAGAAGGAAGCCAATAGCGCAAACACCTTGTGAAATATTAAAAGGAGGCTGGCAGAGAACAAACAAATGCTGGGCAAAAATTTAAAAGCTCGTCAAAGACGGGGTCGTTTGCCTGGGAACTTCAACAGACTGTAAAATGAAATAATTATGAGCGATAAATTTGCCGGCGTCTTGGCAAAAAATTGTCGCTAAAAGCGAGTGATGGTGGTGGCAGACGTTAGTCTGCGTTGATAATGAGCCGTAAGATGGAGGCCGGTTGTTCAGGCAACATCGACGCCGTCGTCGTCGACCAAACGAAAAACACAGGCAATTATGCAGGGCAACAAAAAAAGAAGAAATATATATTCAGAATTTCTAATTGGATCGATTCGAATGGCGGTGGTCCATTAAAAATTCACAAGATTCTCACTTTACGCCAGGGCTAATTCAATTTAAAGGTCTCAGCCGCCGCCGAAAACTCCGGATCGAGCTCATATTTTATCGGGGCTGTCGTCTGGGGCTGCAGTTGCACGTGCCAATCCACTACGGCGGCGGAGTCGGGCGACTCCGTCCGGATAGCACTTTTATCGGAGCGCGTAAATTTCAACACGGACGGGGACAACGCCTCGCACAGATTTATTTTATTTACAGCGGCCAAAAGGAAAAGCTGTTTGCCGAGCTCTGACATCCCCTTCCCACCCTCTTTCATATAATTTCAATTATCGCCTGTTGGCTGCTGGCCATAAATTAAGTTAAAATCTGAGACGCTGCAGGTTGCGCTGATTGCATGTGAAAAATATTCCCTCTTCCGTGGCGCCCTTTTAATTAAGTGCAAATGCAAAAGTTATGAACTCGAGTTTCGCCTTTTCCGAGAACTTTTCTATCTCTTCTTCCGCATATTGAACCCTTTGTGGCCGATTATCTGGGCACACACAAATTTCATTCGATCCGAGAACTTTGTCCTAATCCTTCCAAAAAAATATAGAGAACGAACAAAATTGTCATATTGCTGACTGAGCGGTGGAAAAGTCCAAACTTTTGTCGGCAGCAACAACAAGTGACTGCTAACAAACGGAAACAAACAGCTGCATTAGCAGCCGCAAATCAGCAGCAATCACAGCAACAGCAACGCCAGCAAACAGCAACAAACAAAGTTGAGCGCACTCACTTAAAAATTCCAAACACAAAAACGGAAATATGCAAAACCTTGGACTAGCAATAAACAAAACAAAAAACATGACAAAGTGTGAAGTGCAGAGTTCGAAGTGGGGAATACCCTTGAAAGTTTATAGTTTTTAAGGATAAAATAAGTAATATTTCAATGAAAACATACGCTTTTTTTAATTGAAAGATACCTAGAAATTAAAATTTAAAAGAATTCATTTACGTAAATATTACAAACTTAATGTTGTTGGTCAGCACTGCGTATGAGTGATGTATTAATTTCTGTGGCGACACTAACGTATAACTCTCTCTTAAAAGAATACAAAACTATAGCAAATACAAAAATACCTGCAAGAGGGTATGAAACCCCTGGAACGAGAGAAACGACAACGGAAATGACACAGCCGCCATGTTGGCCAACTTGTTGTTACCGCTGTGAATGTCTGTGAATGCAATCCAGGTTGTTGCCACTGTTGGTTTCTTGCTTGGTTTGCTTGTTTGTCGCTTTCAAACGAGCTGTTAACGAGCAGAAAAAGCCGTATTTGCAGATCCAGGTGAGAGATGATGGTTAAACCGGAGCTGGGAGCGATGTACAGAAGAAGTGGTTGGAGGATAAGAAGGCCAAGAGAAAATCGCTTAGCTAAAGACTTTCCACCTTCAACTTCGAGTGGGCAGGTGCATGCGAGTAGCCGCCTGTTAGCTATGGCAAATTAGTGATAATGAATAATTTCCCACAGCGATAATTAAGGGCATCATTAAAAATGTTGCCGACGACGAAATTGCGTTCGTCTAGCACTAAACGCTTTTCCAATTACCGCAGCATACAGGGCAGAAGTCATTTTCCGCTTGCATGTCCACAATCCCCCAATCCGCCCGCATTTCCGTGGCAAGTGCAGCTGATAGTGCCCCCTAGTAAAGCATTCTTCCCGCTCCCCGACTCCATGCTCACTGCTCCCGGGGAGATGGGACCACTTTTCACTTTTCAGTTGGCCACTCGGCCGTGTCGCTTATCCATCCCAGGCCAACAATGCCAGTGGTCGATTTCAGGCTGCAAACTGCCGTCATATTTCTGACATGGAAACAGCCACCACGCACTGAGAAAAGTCTGGTCTAAGGCCAGATATTCATAGGAACATTGGATATTTTGATAGACGAGTTATAGATTTTAATAACAATTTCAGTAACTTCTAAGCAAAATAAAAAAATGAATTCGGCTGCAAATAAAATAATTAAGAATAAAAGATTATTACATTGCAATTTTTAGAAAAGTTTCAGCTAGGATAACTTAGTCTAAGTGACTAATAGCCCTAGTAAATATTAAGAGAAAAAACAACAAAACTTATAAGGCCTGTAGTTCCTCACTAATTATTTACTAAAAACGCCTTTTTATTCTTTCTAAAATGTATCTTTACTATTTTATGTGGTTAAGAAAATATGTTTCCTTAACGTTTCCCCGAGTGTATCCCACACTTTAGCTCCACAGTCATGTGGGGTTTTTGTGGCTTTTGCGTGTCGTGCAGCATGCGATTTAGATGTTTGCTGCGACACGTGCGCTCAAAACCTAAAAGGATGAAGTAGGTCACTCTCCACTGTGCTGCACAAACGGGCATCATTTTAATAGCCAAATTATTTGCTTATATCCATTCTATGGATCAGCAATTCCATCACCAGGGCACATAAAGCGAAGGTGAAGCCAAAGGCCAGAACAAACAGCGCCCCGGCTATGTTATTTACATCCAATGCCTGTGGGGCTCCCTTGACCTTGTGCCCATTTGCTAAATCCATCAGCACTTCCTGTTTCTTTTTGTCCATATACTTTTCAATGAACTAGGAATTGAAAGGAGATTTTATATTGCAATGAATGGGAATGAAAGTAACATAATAAGCGATGTATCTTAATAGTAAGATTATAATTCGACTTAATTTATCATTTTATCTTATCATTCAACATTTTTACATAAGGACTTCCTTCCATGCTTACCTCCAATTCCCAGTGGTAATATAGACCTGTTTCCTGACACGTCCGAATATGTCTGTTCAACTCAGGCATCAAGATCCAACCTCGTATCGAAACAGCTCTCGTATAATCAAAATACAAATCATCATGCAAGACCTACCGAAACAAATATTTGTTTAACTAATTTTAAAAATAAGGAAACCTAAAACATACAATTCGATTTTCCAGAGCCTCTGTTGACACATAGTCGCCAACAGAAAGGGAACCCGAAGACAATCTTTCAATACCAAATCCATAGTTTGGGCATAAAACTGACGTTGGACAAGTAGCTATAGTCATGCACCTCAAAGTTTCTGGCCAGAATTTGTTCCGTCTCCAGATCTGTACTCTGGATCGTGTGCACCCAAATAATGGAGGGAGCTGCCCATTTCCAATCCGACTGTGCCCACTTTTCGATCGTATCCACTGGAGCGGAGAAGAAGGGGAACGTTAGCATAGACTTAAGCTGGCCACTGTAAATATTTTCCAGAGTGATTGTGGCACACAAAAGAGTGGCCAGGAAAAAGCGAGGTGCAAATCTGTCAAAGCTGAAAGGCATACATTTTATTAGAGTAAATGGTAAGACCTTTTTACAGTTAAGATGAGTCTAAACTAATGTCAAAGTATATTAAATGAAAAATTTAAAAACAATGATATTTATATCCTAAGGAGACCACATTTAAAGTTTAACTAACCTTAGGGGAGCAGATGGCTGCTGTATAAAAAGAGCAAAAATGTCCAACATGGATTTCTCAAGTTTTCTGCCATGATGAAATTTCAACTCTTTGGAAGAAAACCCCAAACAATAACTGATGTATTTCATAAAGTACAGAAAGGTACCGCAAATCACTAAGGTTGACATCAGCATCAGCCAAGTGAGGTCATTGAAGGGCATAATATTGGTGCGCCAACTTGGTAAGGGACTGAAAGTAAAGGTTAAAGATTATTTACTTCGTAAAACTAAATTAAAACTCACGCTGGGGCAGGACCCAGTATGGTTACTGAAGATCGAGCTATGGTATGGGAGGTCTCCGTGATTCCATCATACCAATTGTAGATGCAGCCAATGGCCATCTCCACACGCTGCTCATAGATGTCCCCAAGCATTCCATCGCTCGATTCATTATCGTAGATTCCACCCCAGTTATCAGCGCCATCTGAAGGGAAACCGAAACCGATTTTTATAAGTTTTTAATTAATTTTCCAATGTTAGCTTACAGGCCTCCACTCTCAGGTGACAATTGTGCACCTGGCAGAAGGTCTTCATCACATTGGCCTCGGCGCCGTCAAAAGTAACCGAAAGTTTGGTCTTTTGCGGATGGATGGGATCTACATCGCCCTTGCCAGGGGCCTGCATTGGGTTAAGGCTTAATATGATTAACTATGTGCTGGTAATTCAAGTGTCTTTGCTAATTTCGTTAATGGTGTTGTTTGGAAACACGCCCCTACCCACACCATCACCATTACCAACACTCTCTCTCACACACCAATCGGAACACAAAGTAACATTCAAATGGACATCGACACTTGGCTCGTCGGGCGGCAATTAAATGGAAACACGTAATTTAAATCAATGTTGGTCCTGTGCAGGATCCAAAGCCAAGCCCCAAACAAAACCACATTCACATGCTTGTGGCTGTGTGAGTTCCTGTTTGTATGTGTGGTGTGGGCTGGTATTTGTGTTAGTATTTGGCTCTGGGTGTGCGTGTGTTTACAAATGTGCAAATGTCCTTAAGGCAAACAATTGAGTGCGAACAAAACTTTTGCCAAATGACAACAAAAGCACGTTTTTTTGCGTCTATTGTGTGGTTACAATGGGATGAAAAGGATTTTAATACAGACAGAATAAATGAACTAATTAATGGTACTGTTGATATTATTGAAACCTTTCTGAGGGTATTATAACTTTGAGTTGAAAATTGTCAGTGAAGATGACATGATCTTCTTGATTGGTATCACAACTACGCCAGAAATAATTTTCATTAAATAATATCAACAAAAAATTTCAATCAAACACTTTAAGAAATATTACTTATTATAGTTTTGTAAGTTTTTTCAGTCCATAGTACAAAAATGTAAGAGGACAAATCATGTAGACGAGTCCTGACAACTCCCACCAGTGATTGCCGTGGACTGGGCACCGCAGAACAACATGTGCTTACATTTTAGTTGCCGAAATCGTTGCCCACAACGACAACAAAGCCAAATAACTAAGCACCCACACCCACAACACTACTACCACCACCAAACACACACAAACACCAAAAATCCAACAAACATACATACATACTACACACAGATATGTATTTCGGCCAAAGGACCAACCACTGGACATTTATTCATGATGAGTTCGCACACTGAGCCCGGACTAATGCAAAGACAACGATGTGAATGAGCCTGATGAAGATGAGGAGTCCTCAACATTCTGGGTGGTGTGATGGGTGGAAGAGGGGAACAAGGACGACCAATTGGCTTTGCTTAATGTTGGCGTGCAAATCTCTGGCATTTGTGCAAAGCCGGCTGGCTATCAGAAAGGCACAGAACAAAAAACTGGACAATTTTTTGTCAAGAAATATGGATTATACTCTGGAGTCTGAAATCTATTTAGCTTTGTGATTTCCGTTGTAAACAAGTGAACTTAGAGGTACGAAATAGTCTTATAACGATTATTAAGTAATTTTCATTTTACTAAGTCAATAACAGAAGAGAAATAAATTACTTATGAGTGACAATTTGTGACTACATTTTGTGGGGAAATCAATCTTCACGTCAGCAAACGCCAACGCGTCAAAGAAAATATCACCAAAAAAATAAAACTTTTCTGAAGAAATATTAAAGTTTGATAAACAAATTTTTTATAATGAAAATCAAAGTTTTTTTTGAATATTTTTTCTCAGTGCCAGAACGGCAACAACAAACGATAAATATAAACTTAACCGGCAATTACTTACCACATAATTAGTAATCGTATATGGGACATAAGTAATGGAGCCAACGAGCAGGCTGCGGCGCTGCAGATTGAGCAGCTTGTTGGGATAAAGTTCGACCCGGTTGGCAAAAGTTTCGTTCGGCAAGAATGCGTCCAGGAGCAGGGCATCCAAATTACCAAAGGCACCGACAAACTTTTGTGTCCACAGCTCGAAATTGATGTCGCGGTGGGGCGAAGTGGTTGTTGTCCCTGTACCTTGTCCTCGGGCCACACCATCACCCTTGTTTCCCATGTTTACCGATGCGCCCTCTTTGCGCTTAGGTTTTGGTTGGGGTCCTTTTTTTGGTCCTGCTCCTGGCAGAGACTCGGTTCCAGGTCGCACCATCAGATGGTGGGGATAAACTAAAGCGCATTACAGCGATTTTTGGTTGTTGGACAAAAAGAAACAACAATAGGGAAGGGGATATAAAAAACACGGGCTTTATTGAAAAATCTAGAGATATCGACCAAGAATTACCCAATTATTAGGTTATACCTTAAATGAGAAGTTTTTTAACACAAAAAGAGCAAAAATATTTTTAAAAATAAATTCATAATAAGTATATGCTTTTGAAGTTGTAAGTACAGGGTATATGACAACTGAGTCACTCACCAAAAAAAAAGAGAATCAACAAAAATCAGAGGAAGGAAAACCAAGTCCAAAAAAAGCCCAAGTTTACAATTGAACAAGACGCTGTCGAGCGTTGAAATTATTGGCAAGTGCTAAAGTTTGATCAACTGGCCATGAATGTCCTGCGGCTGTTTCCACAACCATGTTTACGCGGGAATCCCCTCGTGTTGGTTGCGCCCAAAAGGAAACTTTTCCAGTTTGGATTGTTTTGCCACGCCCACCCCCAGGGATGTGGCAAGAAGTCACCGCTTAAGCTAATAAATTGATGCTGACTGGGTTGGATGGAATCGGATTGCAACAAGACAGGAACACTCAATGGAAATGGGGTTGTCTATCCAAAGTGGCTTCATTAGCAACTACAATCCTGTACTCACACTGCAGTATTTCCATGGCCAGCAATTCCGCGGGGCTTTCGTCCTCGCACAGAAACAAGTATCGCTTATCCTTGAGACGCACATTGGCATTCCGAGTGGCAAAATAGCGGGCGTGAAGAAAAAGGTTTGTCTTTGACAAAATGGTAATAAATCCCTAGAAATAAAAATAAAAAAAACAATAAAAGCATTTATTTATTAATTAAGGAGTTATAGAGAAACAACAAACTTCTGTAACGCTGCTATTTAGAGCTCCCATAACTTGATCCTCCAGGGCTTCCACATCCTTTAATAAAGCCACATTAATCCATTGAAGCCTAATGGGCTGACTTAAGTCTCGAAGAACCGATTCCAAAGCACTTAAATAATCCAGTTGAAGAGGAGTCGTGGATCCGGAATTGTTGAAGACAATCAATATTGATGAAAATCCAGAAAAGTGTGGAACAACTATAGAGGAACTAGCTTAAGTTGGCTAAGAAGAGATAAGGCCAATTTTCATTACCTAAGAGCCGAAGCAATTGGCTTAAATGCATCACCAACGGTTGCAGCAACATCTCGTCCGCCTTTTGATTTCATTTTCCATGAATCCAGATTTTATAGGACTGGCATTTAATAACTCTGCTTCGATTGGCTGGCAAATTGATTTTAACTCGAACAGTAATTGAAAACCTCCGGCAAGTCCTATCATCACAAACTGGAAATGGGCATTATTTGCCCAGACATTAGCCTAATGAAACGCACACAGCATATTACGATATTTGCATAATTCAGTAAACAAACAAGAACATAACAAAAAGTGCCTCGGGTAAATCAAGCGGAAACCCTTAGTTTAGTTCAACTATCTACCTACAGTTGATAGGAGTCAGATGTCGGAAAGTCAGCTAGAGCATCTTCTAGTTAATCAATTTCAAACACTGGGAGAAGTAAAAGGGTAAAGAACATGACCAAGGGTAAGTTGTTAGTATTATATTATATATATTATAGAAATATATTTATTAAAGAGATATATCTAAGATTTTTTTGCCATTAAATCTGCTTTCTATAAGTATAACTATAATAATGAAGAAAGAATCTGTACAAAAAATGGAAATACAACTCAGTACTTGAAATGACGCAGAAGTACCTTTGTTGATATCAAAGTCCCACTATTTAGCTAAAGTTTTAAAGTCCCACAGTTTTTTTTCAGTGATTTGCCTTAACCAATGGCTCTGGGCCAATTAGCGGTCCCACAAATTAGCGACAACAATGCGGCCAAACGAATGACTTTCATTATGAATGCGAACAAAGCCCGAAACGAAGCTAAAGTTCCACACAGATAGTCGACAGAAACTGAGCCGGGACCAGGCCAAGTGTCAATTGAAACAATTCAATTGGTCTGCCAGCAAATTCTGTGGGCAGCGAGAGGTTAAGGGCGCTGGTCGCAGGATGCAGGAGGACGAAGTCTGTGCCATCGCCAATGTAGGAACACAAATGGACAGTCGAGACAAGCAGAATCTGGGAGTGAATGTGCGAGTGTTGCGAGTGCTTAACCATTGGGTTATTTGAAATTGAAAGACAGATTAAAGGATTTGCTCCTGGCGAGCCAAAGCAGAGCCCGTTGAAGATACCACGGCCAACATTCCAGACAAGCGGAGGACGAAGAGCCTGCGGGGGTAGTCTGTCCCTGGTCCTGGTCATTTGAGTGCACAGCAGGCGGCGATTTTATTGCCTCGACAACCTGCTGGGAACCCCCCAAATACAAAAAAAAAAAAAAAAAATCGTAGCATCCACCCACACACATACACACACATGGAAAATTGCTCGGCACTAAAGGGCAATTAAACACCCAAGCGGTGTGTTACCCCAGTTCGAGTTACTCGAAAGTCAATGGCATTAAAAATCCATGAAACGATATTTATCTTCTCAAACGCTTTTGCAGGGTGGCAATAAAGCCATCGAGAGCAACGTTTGATAAAGTGATTAAAGTTTAACTTGCTAAGTCACATTATGAAATTAGCTTTTGATTTTGGGGTTTACAAAATCTTTGCAGAAATTTTTATCACGGAAAAGCTTATGCAACTGGAAAGTACTAAAGTTAAAGCTATTAAGACTGTTATAAAATATAAGACTACTATGATCTTAACTTCTTTAAACAGGATTACCTTGCCATAAAGTTATTCATCAACCTCTAATAGCTCTTTCTTACCAAATACCATTTTCTATAAAAACAACCAGATTAAAGATTACTGCTAAAGCCGATCAAGAAAATGCATATTTTGTTAGGTAACTAACAGCTTTTATCTCTCAGTTACATTCAATTGCACATTTCTACGTGAAAAGCTGAAATAACAATGGGAACCCCACCGAATTCACAGCGCCTTGAAGTATGCAACACTAATCAAGACACAAATGCAGATTTGTGCGATTACGTGTTTGTCTGCGTGCGTGTCTGTCCGCAGAAATGGAATTTACACGCCTCGCACACGCACATGCTCAACTTTGCTATCAGTTGGTGTAGAAGGGTAAAACGGAGGAAAGTGGGGTAAGAACCGCAGGCGGGCTGACCAGCAAACCGACCGCAATGTGGCCCACAAGCTGCAGAAGTGGCCCACACACAGTGGCAACATATGGCCAAAAACCAAAAAGGTTTACGGCTGGGCTGTATGTACTACTACCAGGACGAGTCTGAGTGAGTGAGAGTGCGTGGCGCAGTTTTAGCTAAAGTTTTTTTTTAAATTCTTTTCCCCTTTTTTGCAGGCTGTGGCTTAGAGTTCTGTGTTATGCTTTCATCTGGTGCCTGCTGGCGGGCAATTTGCCTAGACCGAATTGCACTTGCATGCTAATGAAAAGTGCTCGCCGCAGCAAGAACTTTAAATTGCCTCCACTGTTAAAGCCAAATTACCCGTCCAGTATATGCCACATACATACGAGTATATTCTTCTTTTTTTACCCATTCATTTCCATTTAAATAATAATAATAACAACAACAGCGCGACTTGGCAATCAAGGCTCGCAGCTGCATTAATGAATAGCGAAACAAGGCGATGTCCTTGAAGTCCTCGGCAGCCAACTAAACAATGGCAACATGAAGGCTTCGGCGTAGTAAATCGTGCCACTTGATTATGGCATTCATGGCAGCTCGAACTGTGAAGGGAACAATCCATGCAAATGAGTTTTCCCTTTTCACGACTTTCACTGGTTTATTTTTTTTTTTGCGACAGTTCAGTAACACTACAATGTGATCAATAATTGTGTGTTAGCCAGAAAAGATTGGACAGGAATTTAATAAGACAAAAACAAGCTTAAACTGAAATGTACCTTTAATTAACACAACTCAGCTGACCCAGATGGTCATTAAAAGAGATATATTTAGTATCAATTGGCATTTATAACAAATTAACTATTCAATGTTTATTAATTTCAAGCATACATTGCGTATACTTGTTATCTCTCAGTTTACTGACTGGATAACAATGAGCATGACATTTCACTTGATTTTACCTCTTAATAAGTTAATTTTATTGTTCATTTCATTGTGATAAACATTAGGCATAACCACTATAGAGATAACACATATTTAACATAATAAAAATGTAAACACTTTTTAACCTTCCTTTTCATTTGATTAGTAGATATTTTGATTTCCCAGCAAACATTCATCTCTAATTATGTAATCAAATATTGCTTCGTTTTCGTAATGCCTACAGATGTATTCCTTCGGAAATTAATACAATCACAATCTGTCACCTGCTAGGAACTCAATGCCCGAGTCAGAAACAATTACGCACAGCTCATCAAGTGCCCGGCACACATTGCGTATGCTTGATAACCATTTGTGACATCTGACGGTATCTGACAAGCATCCGACAAGCTCTGCAAGATTCCTATGTCAGTTCATGGAAATGTGTAAATATTTGCATGGTAATTAGCCAGGACACATCAGATTCACGACATCACTGCATTAGTATTCGGTTGTCCTTGAAATTCTCATTTGCTGCTGCTTGCTACTGCGTGTGCTAGGTGGAAAATATTTCCCCTATAACATTTTGTTGCCGCACAATTATGCAGATTGCCACTGCAGAAATGTGGTGAGTAGGGGGCGGGGGCAGGGACTCAAAAGTTTCTGCAAACATTTGCCATTTGGTCGAGGACAGGCCCCCTGGAGTTTGGTTCATATTTGTGTTGGCCGTTTTCGGGGTATTGCAAATTGCAATTTTTTCATGATTTGTAAATAAACTGAAGAGGCAGTCTAGGTTTTCTTTACCCATTCTTGTTTTTTTTTTTTTGTATTTACCAAAACCTCTCCTTCGAGTTTGAGGCAAACACTCGAGCGTGTAAATGCACACATACCAAAAAAAAAATGAAGAAAAAATAAAGCTTGTGAAACTAAAATAGAAACACATTTCATTTCCGTAAGATCTGGCAGAGTGGAAAAGGAAAATGTGCTACACTTGAAGGGGGCAAAGGGGGTTTGGCGGGAAGAACAACTGGCAAACAACAAGAAAGTGGAAATAAACTTGGCGATAAACCAACGAAATCGATTGGAAATATTTTAACGAAATTGCAGCTTAAAGTGTCAAGGCAGCATGTCGGTTGCTGCCAAAGTGGGTGGCATTTTCCGGGGGGCAGCAATCATTTCCACTGACGTTAAGATGAGTGCTCGTTGCGATGATTCGGCTGTCGATGATTATGAGGCTGCAGCTGCAAAATGTTGCTGTTGGGTATTTAGATAATACCGCCCATCCACTTAACAATTCCTCCTTGCAACTACGGTGAAGCTTCAATTATGTAACCACTTAAATCAAATGGGATAGGACCTAAAACTGTCAAAGTGTTAAGCTTTCTACCCAATATATTTTTTGAACTTTTAACACATTATTATCATCCGTCCTATTACTATAAACATGCATGCATTTTATTAATTACTAATATTATATTTTTATTATATTATTATTTATTTAAAAACTTACTTAGCAGGAAGGCTTAAGGGACCATATTATAAAAATATAAAAAATCGTCAAAGAAGAGATCAATCTTAAATTAAGAAGCTCTACTGTCTCTGTATCTCTCAAGAGTGCAGTTCAAGTGAAGCGCAACGGCAAAGAAACAGTTTAAATACTAACAATGCAACGGTTTCGGGTCAAGTATTTCCATCTTGCCCCGCACTTTCCCATTTTCCCTGCTACGGAAACGAAATGTAATGAAAGCGTGTAAAGTGCAAATCGAAAAGGCAATACAAGTAACGAGTACAAAATACTTGTGCCCCCTTTGCCCCCTAGCTTCATGGCCAGAATTTTCTCTAAATTACCAATGTCGGAGCCGAGCCAAGGCGATAAGGATAAGGGGGCTGGGAAAGTTGGTTAGGTGCCCGGTCACATCCTGCAAGCGAAACAGGTGAAACGAAGGAAACAGGCTGAGGAAATGTTTCGCAAAATGTAAGTTTCTTTCACGCTCTAAATGGGTTTTCCCATTTCTAATGCCCATTTTGTTTTGCCCATTTGGGCTATGTGAAATTATAACTTTAATTAAATGAATTTAATTTTGGCTAGCTTTTCGGCGTGGAGTTGCATCCTAATGCCTTGACTTAGCTGGGCGGGAAAACGTTACAACTTTAAGCCTAAACAGATTTCCATATTTCATTAGCATTTGGCGACCACAAAAACCGCCAACGAATTAAATATTGATAATTGTTTTTTCCCCAATCGATTCCTATCTGTTATGAATTTAAATATATGGTACTATATATACATGCAATTACATAATCCAGTGACAGAAAAAGAGTTTTGTTGTCGTTGTGCTTTTGGAAATTTATTGCATATTTTGGCGCAGGCTGCGAACTCGCCCGGGAATTGCCCGGGGCTTAGAACTAACAATTCAAAATGAATTTAAAGCCGCTGAGGCGATGGCCAAAACGGGCCAAATGAAAAATTTCAATTAACCACAAAAACCGATGGCCAACCAAATCGAACCGAAATCGGACCAAAAACAAAACGACATGCAAACGGAAAAAGCGACCGGAAAAAAGAAAACGAAAATATTGTCCACTGCCAACCATTTTGGCTAAATCATTTTCCCCTCTTTCTATCTGTTTGAGGAGTTTTTCCTGCCATTGCAGGGTCACTACGAAAATCCTTTTGATCGGAGAGCTCTGTACGTTCTGGGCCACAATTAAATGCACTCGACAATGCACCTGACGGACCCGAAATCGGAGAGGCACCAACCACATACACCTACATACATCCGCATCCGTTCATTTATTCATTGAATATTGGCTTTGGCCAATCAATTGGCCATGGACCCGTTTTTGTGTCCATGGCGGCCAAATCAATGCAGCCTGCGGTTCGAAAACCAGCGAAATCAATGCGAATTATTTGGTTTTCCAATTCGTTACACTTCATTAATGACAATCCCTAAACTCGTTTTGTTTTTCCCTCTTGCTACCCCCGGTAAGAAATATGCGTATTATGATAGCTACGATTTTGCGAATAATTCTATTTGGAGGGAAATACACACTCGCATATATGCTGTTTATTGTTCATCATATCGACATCAATTGGGGGATTGTCGGTACCGCAACGGAAATTTATTTTATACATGCTAGCACCACCGCAGCTCATTTGGTGCCACGAAAACCGCCAATTTGGATCCGTGCGGCAAGCAGCATTTCAAATCGCACTTTAATTTTGCATACGAGTATGTGTTTTGGTGGGTTTGGGTGTCATTCTACACATTCTTACCCCCAGTTCACACACTCAATCGTTTTGGGAGCATTGTGTTGACAAAGATGTAAATAAAAATTTATGCGCACAAAAGTATGCTTTACAGCATGCACATAAAATGATTATGACGATTATGCCGGAGCTTCAGCAACTGCTACTTATTCGCAGGGCATGCTATATATGCGAACGAATAACATGAGTACCCAATATATACAGCACTGGGCACATTTTGTATTTTTGTTTCAAATGACACTTATATAATAAGAAACTAATTTTTATTCAAAGATTATTACTTTCAAACAATCTACTTTTCAAGTAAGTTGATTTTAAGTTTAGTTAATTCTTTTATTTTTCTAATCCCTACTGTAACCTATTAATGTGACCTTTGCTATAGGAAATCCCCTCATACATAAGCACTCGCATGCTCCCACATTTATTGACACAAATTGCGTTTTGAGAACGGCATTTGGCAGCCCTTGGTGGCAGCTCCTTCTGCTTTTCTTTTTATTAAAGCAATAATAAAATATTCATAAAGATTTCGTTTATGAAACGATAACAACGAATATTTTAGAATAAACGGCTATTAAATAGGTTTGTGGCTGGCAGCCTATACAAATCGATGGGCGATCCCTGCTTTATTAGCCTCGCCTGAGTTATTTGCGGTCGGGGTTTATGTCTCCTTTAAACTGTGTTTTGTGTTTTGGGGCTCAATCAATTCCCTTAGCAAGCTGTGCGCCCCACAATCATGTCAAGAATTCAATATCAAAGCGCCAGAGCAGCTGTCGCTGATGACATCGGGGAATGTCCACGATTTCATCAACCGCCCCGCGCCTTTCTTTCAATGTCATTGATGAACAGGCTAAAAGTGAGTGGGTGGTTGGCTGGAAAGCATCGCATTTTGATTACAAATATGAAACATGTTCACACAAATATGACCTGCCCCCCTTCGGTTTCCACACGCACACACACAGCTTCTTCAATGGTGTGTGTATGGAGTGCACTTAATGGCGTTCCGCATTTGCCGGAAAGGGGGTGAAAGTCAAGTTAATATTGAGCCAACTTGAGTCAATTTTGACTGAGTGGGACAAATACACTAGGGCAAAAATTATGAGGAACTAAATTTATGGATTATTATTAAAAAACGAAACGATTTAAAATATAACTTATCTTTTTCGTAATATTACAGTAATTGGTAAAAAAAATGTTTTGGAGAAAATGCAAATGGTTTTCGTCTTAACAGATTTTTCTTCTTGTAATCTTGCGTTTGTTACGCATTCTTAAAGAGAACCAGAGTTAGCGACCATGATCTTCTTGGAGGTCTTGCCCGATTGCGATCCATAAGATTCGATCTTCTTGACCACATCCAAGCCCTCGACGACCTCACCGAAAACAACGTGATTGTTGTCCAACCAAGCTGTCTTCACGGTGCAAATAAAGAACTGGAAACCGTTCGTGTTGGCACCAGCGTTTGCCATCGACAAAATACCGGAGCCGGTGTGCTTCAGCTGGAAGTTCTCGTCGGGGAACTTGTTGCCATAGATGGACTTACCGCCAGTGCCGTTGTGGTTGGTGAAGTCGCCGCCCTGACACATGAAGTTGGGAATAACGCGGTGGAAAATGGAGCCCTTGTAGCCGAAACCCTTCTCGCCAGTGCACAAGGCGCGGAAATTCTCAGCGGTCTTAGGCACGACATCGGAGCGCAGCTCCATGATTATCCTACCGAGGGGCTCGCCATCGGCGGTCATATCGAAAAATACCCTAGGCAAAGTACTCATCTTCGACGCTTTCGAATATTCGCGAACAATCTGAATTCCAAATTGCAACTCTTTAAATATAATATTTTAAGATGACGAGCCCAGATCACAGCTTTTTATGCTCCGGAAACGGCAGAGCAGAGAGAGTTAAAAAATTGTATCTAGCTAATTTGTATTTTTTAATGTTATTAAATTGGACAATTAAGCATTACTGGTTTTGTATATAATTAACTAATTAACACTTTATGAGTTTTCTTTATAAAAATGATTTATCCTTTAAGGATTTTCAATTAACTACCTTTTTATTTTAGTTCTTTAAATTTAAAATAGTTTAGGTAATAGGTAATAGGTAATAGGTAAGTTTTAGTTTTTGTTTTTAATGTTATTTAATAACATGTAGCTTGAAGCATTTTCAATATATAAATCACAAAATTGACTAATCTTTTATATCAGTGCAGCCACACATTCGCTGAGATGGCAACACTCGGGAAAATTGCAAATAGACAAGATCTTAGGCCATTAGCTTTAATTGCCAAAGTTCTGGGGCAACAGCAACTGCAACAGCGAAGCAATTGCAGTAGCAGCTGGTACTGCAACTGCAACAAATTGCGTGGCTATCAATATTTCCGTGGCTGCATTTGATTTCCTAATGCATCCGCAGCGAGGCAGGACCAAAGTTGACAGGCAGGCAGGCTGGCAGGCAGGAAGTCTTCATCCGAAGCAGCCACCCTCAAACCTTCGACCTCCTGTCAACGATTAACAATATCCGCTTGTGTGCGCCCCGGCAGGAGGTCACCCGCTGGCCCAGTTGGGAGCTTGGTTTTAATTAGTCCTGCCCGTACGTATTTTCTATTGGCCAATTCACCGCAGAAGCTTCATTACCGGAATGTCGTGTATGTCTCTTTCGCTTTGTGCGTGTGTATTTCTGCAGGACAGATTGCGAGTCATTAAGTTGATGCAGCAGCTGCAGAAGGGACTGCAGTTGCAGGAGCAACATCGGTGTAAGCCACACAAACAGGCAGTTAGAATGCCACAAGCCACGCCCACAACAGCGGTTGAGCTTTGTCGAGGGGCTGGGCAGCTGTAACTGAATCGGAATCACTATTACCAGCACCAGAATCCGAATCCGTATCCGAACCCAGATCAGAGCAGAAAACAAAACAGAAACATGTCGAGAGTTAACCTTTGTTGGCGGTTACAGCTTTTTGTGCGCCGGAAACGGCAGAGCAACTCAATCAGTTTTTGCGGTTTATGGTGGCCCGGCCAAAAGGGACACGCTAATGGCTCACAAATGGCACTTGAATAATTGAATGCCGGAAACGGAGGAGAAATGAAGCGCGCGGTATTAGCCAGCAAATGCCTGCAACTGGCATTGTCCATTTTATACACGTAATCCATGTAAACAAATTGCACATCATTCAACTACAAATTAACTACGAATCGTACTAACTAATCTCATGGTCTAAAGCGAAGCATCCTTCTTGGCCTGACTCCCGGAGTCCTTGCCATATGGGTCTGAATGCGGTTTATCTTTGTCCTGCTGCACCTCTTCGCTATTCTGGCTAGCGTTCAGTTTCTTCTTTTCACTGGAAATCAGCTCTTGTAGTTCATCTTCCCAGCCTAGAGCTTTGGCCAGAGCCAGAACTCCAGCATCGCAGTCACCCAAATAGGCCACATCCCTCGTGTTATTGGGCCTGTCGAAGAGCAGCGATCGCTCATGGGGATCCATCCAAGGAACAAAACTGGCCTGACCCACTGCATCGCGATTGATCAGCAGGCGCAGGCAACGAGGTCCTGGTCTTTGAACCAGAGAAGCAAATGGCTGCACTTCCAGAGAGGTACCCATAATAATCAACAGATCACAATCCTGGAAATCTTCATCGGGACTGGAGTAAAATCTTTGAGGCAAGTTCTCTCCAAAAAAAACAATGTCTGGTTTGACAACGCCCTTGCAATGATTACATTTAGGTAAACGATCGGCGAAAATCTCTTCCTTCATCCAGGCCATGTCGTACTCCTTCCGGCATTTTATACAATGATTGGTATGAAAGCTGCCGTGGGCCTCAATGATCTTCTCTTCGGGCAGACCCGTCAGTCTGTCCAGAGTATCTATGTTCTGGGTGTAGTGTCGTTGCAATAGGCCCTTATCATTCAGCAAACGGACAAAGTAGTGCGCCGGTGTGGGAATGAAGGAACCCGGATACAGCTCCTTTGCCAGAGCAAAAAATGGGGCGGGATTCCTTTCAAAATAATCAAGAGATCGAAGATGGCCGTGGGATGTGGCAGCTTGTACTTCTTTAGGTTGCTATATAGACCAGAACCCGGCGACCTAAAGTCCGGAATGCCAGCAGCTAAGAATTACCACTTATTACATGTTGTATAGGGATGGATTTACAGATATACTCACAAGTAGAAATGCCGGCTCCCACCATAGTCACAATCTTCCGAAAGCCATGTTCACGCCAATGGTCGGCAAAGCCCTCGAAAGACAAGTCTGAAATAACCTGGTAACACAATAATATATATAAGGTTTAATTAAATAAATATGTTAATTGAATTATCAGGAGTTCATCTCACCTTCTCCACTTTGAGTTCTGCCTTTGCGTCCGTGGAGCCACCCAGATTTAAAGTGTGTGCAAAGAAGCGACGAATCATATCCATAGTGGCGTCTGAAATCGTATTTGGTTAGTAGGTGACAGTAAAAACCAATGTTGTTAAACAAACCTTTACCCTCTTCTTCGTCGCTGGATGAAGAATTCGAGTCCGTAGTCGGTTGTTTCTCCTTTTTGTCACTGTCACTCATGACTTGGATAATCCTTGACCTCGACTGATGAAAGTATCTGAAACTACGTATTACTCTATAAATTGCCCCCGTTGTTTTGATTATTTGCTTTCCTTTCACGCAAAAAAGAAAAACACGCCAAGCAACCAGTGCTGTCAACTATCGATAAGAAAGAGCAACCAACAAGAATTTCTGCCATAGCTATAAAGTATTTTAAGATATATATTTTTATTTAGAAATGAATTGCTGGATAATATTTTATTTAATGACTTTTTCATAAACAAAATGTAGTGCATATTAAAAACGTAATATATTGTATGATATTAAACAATATTATTTTAATGAATTCTTAAGGAATTAAAATATTTAATCATTTAAGTTTTATAAATTTGCATTTATTCATTTATTTATTTAAAGCGAATGTAAAAATGTTATTACGAATAAATCAAATTAATTTTAATTGCATGCTTAACAGAATATGCTAGACTGCCACCACTGAATGCACCATCTAATCGATATCTGCTATCGACCCAATCAGCGATATACATTTTTGCTAGATCATCCCTGGTCGGCCGTTGGTCGATTACTCGATGTGCGGCGGGGGTGCAGCTCTGGCCGTTCGCCCAGCCCTGGAAAACCACGCCAGTCATTTTTGTTTTGATAAGGATACGGATACAAAAAGAGCGTGGCCTGGAAAAATTGCAGAAACGGCGGAGAAAGCGCCCCAAAATCGAGCGAAAGTGGTGTAAACTAAGCGTTGGGCGGTACGTGACAAAGTGGGCGCGGATTCGAGCATCCCCAATCGCTACGTGGAAGCGTAAGCAGCGTGTCGAAGAAGAGGAGAAGAAGAAGCAGCCGAAGTACACAGAAGTACAACCAGACGGCTAAAATAACAAATCAAAGAAGGCCCAGAAAAGGTGGTGGTGGCAGAGACGGGGCGAGGAATGGCCGAGGGTCGTCGGTGGCTGCCATTGTATAACGCTGCCGATGGGCAGACTGTAGATCCGCGCTAGGATCCCATCTCGAATACCATGCATCTTAACCATGCGACCGCCGCGACGGCAGCCATGGCGAACTATCAGCACTATCAGCTGCCAGCCTCACATGGTGGGCGGCGGCGGAGGAGGAGGTGGTGGTGGGGCCAATGGTGGATCTGGGCCAGGTCCAAATCCAGGCCAACAGCAGTCCACCACTCTGGCCAGCCTACAGCAGAGCCCGTTTGCCTTGCATCAACTGACTGCCGTGCAGGCCATTCAACATCCCACCCACCAGGCCATGCTCCATCCACAACACCCGCTGGTCCACTTACTGGACATATCCACTACCACGGCGAATAGTGGCGGCGGAGGTAATCATACGCCCATTTCGCCCATGAAACAAGAGGTGCAGAGCGTCATCAGCGAGGAGGAGGTGGTAGTGGACGATCCACGAAAAAAGAAACAGTGCCACGTATGCAAGAACAAGTTCCGGCAGCTAACCACGTTACGCAACCATATGAAGATCCATACGGATGAGCGGCCCTACAAGTGCAAACACTGCGACAAGGCCTTCCGCCAAATCTCAACGTTGACCAACCACGTGAAGATCCACACCGGCGAGAAGCCGTTCACCTGCAACATCTGCGCTAAGGACTTTCGCCAGCAAAGCACCTTGATCAATCACATCAAGACGCATAAGGGTGAGTGTGTGTCCTCTTTGTCCAAATAGAGCTAATAATTCGTTTCCGGGAAGCAGCGGCGGAGTCCAGCACGCCAACGTCTTTGCTGAACTACCAGCCGCAGACTGGTAGCGGCAAACACAGGAAATCGCAGATGCATCAAGCCTACCAGCAACAGCATCAGCGCGTCCAAATCTCAAAGACCTTGTACTCCGGCAGTTACAGCTCGCCGGCGGCCGAAGAGCTGGTGAAGCCGTTCCAGTGCAGTGTCTGCAAGCGTCGCTTTCCACAGCTGAGTACGCTGCATAACCACGAGCGGACCCACATCGATCCCAAACCGTACAAGTGCGAGACGTGCGACAAGTCCTTCAGCCAGCAGGCGACACTGATCAACCACAAGAAGATTCATACGGGAGACAAGCCGTACACGTGTTCCTACTGTCACATGCAGTTCCGCCAACAGAGCACCCTCACCAACCACCTCAAGACGCACTCACACCAGATTGCGCCTGGAGGTGGTGGTGGAACCGGAGGCGGCGGAGGCGCCGTCACAGCCACAGGTGAGCCGCTTGTGTGTTCGCCCTACCAATGAGCCGCTTTCTGTTATCACTGTGTGCATTGATTATTAACGCTCTTCCCTAACGAAGCTTTTATTTAAATCTTGTACGCATGCCAACTTCAACAAACCATCCAACAACAATCAACACCAACTCCAAACCGCCCATCTGCAGTGGATCACTCAATGCCCGCACCTCTGGCGCCAGGGACGCAGCAGCTGACGACTGGGTTGCTGCCGAACAACCTGCATGGCAGCACGCCGAACATCATCCAGCTGGATCACCATCCGCTACTGCATTTCCTCGATGGCAGCACCACGGTAAGCTCGGTGGTGGCCTCGGCGGCGGCCAATACCAAGGTGGAGCATTTCCAGGCGGGCGGGTCACCGCCGGGCCGCATGACAGTCGTGGGCAACATCAACATGCTGAAGGGCGATAATCCGGACCGGCCGTTCGGCTGCAGTGTATGTCAACGGTTTTTCTCGCAGCAGAGCACTCTGGTCAATCACATCAAGACGCACACCGGCGAGAAACCCTACAAGTGCAAGATCTGCGAGGTCAACTTCCGGCAAGTGGCCACGCTCAACAACCATATGAAGATCCATACCGGCGAAAAGCCCTACAACTGTTCCTACTGCCCCAAACAGTTCCGGCAAAAGAGTACGCTGCAAAACCACCTAAGGGTACACACCTGCTAGACCCACTCCAGATCCAGATCGCTATGCGATCCAGGTCCGCAGCCAGCCAGCCAGTCAAGCAGCCATTGAGGAATAGTGCAATATGCATGCCACATAGCACATACACTTATAGATCGCATATACGGCATACGAATACGATTACATGAATATTATATTTGAATATATACTCGAAAGTGTTATTTACCTGCTGTGCAGAGCGCAATTGTATGTAACTATATCGTAGAGAGCTGATCCACATGCGTGTCCAATTGTAAATTAAGGCTAGCCGTATTCGCATAAGCCACGAATGATATGATACAGGGTGTTTAAGCCTAAACTCTATACTATCCTAGTATGGGTCGATTTGAATCGGTGCATAAGTAATCTTTAGGCTTTCCTAAGCCATGTAGTTTAACGATAAAAATGATCTTTAAATTTTCCCTTTGCAAAAATTTTGAATTTGTAAATTTAACAATTGTATATTGCTAGTTTTGATAAGGATCAGAAAAATTTCTACTCATTTTGTTTAAATTATTTTTAACCTCGACCTCGAGCATCAAACTTTTATATCTGTTTTGTTTTGGGATATACTTAAATATTTCCTTTACAAGGAAGTTGTTTTATATATAAATTAATCAATATTCTTTAACTTTTAATAGTTAAAACACTATTTGCGTTACTGTTTTTAAGACGAAATGGTCCAGAACTGTTAAGTAGATTTCTTAAGCACCGAAGCTTCTTTCTATAAACAAATCGATCCACACTATAGCTATTCCCCTTGCAACTGTTGTCACCCATGAACCAAGTCCCCTCGATCCCTACCAATTAGTTCCGAGTACCGGCTTCTCTCAGCTTTTCTCGTCGTGTTAAATGTTAAGCCCGCCAGCAAAGTAAAGTAAATTAATTAAAAAGTAAAACTAGTTATTGCTATACTGTGTGTAATCCCCGCCCGCTCTAAAACTTACAACAGGCGTCATCGGAACCGAACCGAACCGAAATCGAAAAAAGCAACTATTCATATAAGTGTATTCTTAGCGCATATTTAGCAGCATCTTCTACTCACATGACTACAAGCGGAGCAAAGGCGATCGCATAAATAATCAATAATACATTTAATGAACGAAGGAATGAAAAACCGGGTTGCTTATAGAACAAAAAACTTAGAAAACGGAGAGACAAGAGTCCCTAAATTAAGTGAATCGATGTGGAAAAAGAAAACGATTAAAACCAGCTATAAATTGAATTGACAGAGATCGATCGTAAATGTTGTAGAGAATATATAGTATATATAAAAAATATATATAAACTACTTGTAAATGTAAGCGAAGCGAAGAGCTAAACCAACAATAAAACATGCAAAAAAAAACACTTGTTTTAGTTTATAACATAATCAAGATAAAGATAACTGATCTTGTTTCCAACTAACACCTAGGGAAGAGAAGAAACCACACTTTATTGATTTGAAAAAGGGGAATTTATTAAGTTTTTAAGGTAATGCAGGTATTTTTTGGGAAAAAGGAAAAACAGTTTGTGTATAAGAGATACTAAAAGTAATTACTATAAGCACTTTTCGCATTAAATCTCTAAGGTATGTGTGTTAAGGTAAGAAAGCCTCTCGAGCATTGTTTGTTCGTTCGTGTCATTTAATATTAACTGTCTATAGAAGGAAACGGAAAAGCGAACTAGCTACATATATAGTAGCAGCGGTTAAATTGGAATTTTTACGAAATCTGGTGCATCATCTACTCGTACGTGTGTGTATATTTATATATATATATATGTATATATCCGACCGAAATCCTAACCTACCCAGAAGGTCTAACTTGAGTAAAGAGTTTCCAGGGATAATTGCAGAAGAAACTTGAACATGGACGTTGTCTGCAGGAGAGCCTTGGATTGTTGGGACTTATATAGTATACGACAAACACTTAATCTTATATATATATATATATATAGTTCGTGATTAGACTTTCTCACAACGGATGTTCTAGCCACGCGCCTCGGTTTGGGGTTAAATCTCTGGCAGCGTGCAAAGGCATTTGAGTAGGACCAAATGTACAATTCAGTAAAGCATATACGTTGTCTGTACTCTAGGGTGTATATATATATATATATATATGTTATCTATAGGTTGACCAAAACTTTGCTTAAGCCTAAACGAAATGACACCAACAACGACTCCGCCAATCTACTTGAAAAGCCAGCGCAAGATCAGGCTAAAGATCAACCCGATCAGAGCGTAGATAAGCGACTTGATCACCGTCGACTGCGAAACGCCGCCACCCAGCAAGTGATGCGAATGCAAGGTCATGCTGCTTGGCGGGGGCGAGTACTGCATGCGCTCCAGGCGCTGGCTAATCTCGTTCAGCTGCCGGGTGTGCAGCTCCAGCACGCGGTTCACCTGATCTACCGACAAGGCGAGTCTACATGAAATGAATTTCAATTGTTAATAACATTTTTTAAGAGGTCTTGGGTTCCAGGTTGTACTCACTGCTTAATGGCGCTGGAGGAACTCCGTTTAACAGCCCCTTGCGGCGATTGGCTAGAGTCTGAGTTGGTGTCGCGCGGCGCCAGCACCAGGCTCTTATTCTTGGCCTTTGACACTGCGGGGCCGCCCGGCTTTATGGCTTGTCCCGTCGGCGATTGTCTTTGGGTGCGGGAAAGCGTCTCAATGGAGCTACGCAGGGGATGGATCATCTCGACGCCGTGGATAATGGGCACCGACTTGTGCCGCGTCTGGGTAAGCACTTTAAATTGGCACTCGTACTGGCGAACATCATTGCGCGAGTCCCAAGGCCGCAGATCAGAGTACTTGTACAACCACTGACCATAACTGTCTAGTTCGAAAAGCTCGGGCACGTAAATGGAGTCGTTGTTGGCCCGCTCCTTGGCTTCCGCTCTCTGCCGCTCCTCCAGCACAGTTTTCTCTTCTGTGGCGGCAACCTGATCCTCGCGGGCAATCGCATCCGATACTTGCTGCCACAGGCGCTGCGATTCGTTAGGTTCCTGTGACTCCAGCGGTACCAGATGTCGAGTGAGCCGCTTGGAACGGGTCTCGGCATCCACCCTGAATAGTAACGTTTCCTCTCCCGTCTTCGAGTCCTTCACGCGACACTCCTTGTCCCAGTGCCCATTGATGGTGGCCAGTGTCTCCTTGCCTAACTTGATTTTGCCAACAACCACATTAGTGGCATCAGATCCGCCGAGGAACGGCTTCAGCTTGAATTCCAGCTCCGTCCTGTAACCGGTGTTCTCGCACTCGATGTTTATCTTGCCACCTAGCTCCATGGAGAGTGTGCCCATCAGGATGCCCTTGCAGTGGGCGTACGGCGAGGTCGCCGTATAGCACTCACCGCGCGGCAGCAACGTCATTGTGGCAGCGCCCTCAAGCACTGCCGAAGTGCTGTTGCCGTAGAACTTCGATTTCGCCAGGATGGAACAGGTGATGCTGAAGCCGTCCTCGCGGTTCGTCACATAAAAAGCCGACACTGGTGGATGATGCGAGACCTGCTCCGCAATGTAGAAAGTTCGACTTCCACTGGGATGCTGCCAATAGCATCGGAATCGCTCGCCCAGTATCGGATTATAGGGTTTCTTCAGCCCCTTGGGCTTCTTGTAAAAGCTTGACAGGTACCATTGCACAACTAGCTTCATGCGCGTGAATGCGTCATCCTCCTGCACGGCCCTAAGATCGAAGATGAAGATGTTAAATATGTAGTAAGAACGGATGCTTTATCAAGGTAAACCCACTTGGAGAGCAAATCCGCATGGTAATATGAGTCAGATAACTTGTCCAGGAATGAACGCGGCTCCAGGATGAACGTGGGCAGCACTACCTTGCTCAGATCCATCCCCGGTCGCACCTGCTTGACAATGCACCAAATTAGGCTCTTGTTCTCCTCTGCCAACTCCTCTACCTGCTCCCCTTGCTGGAAATAAAATCACCATTTAGTTTGTTGTTGTTAATTAAACTAACTAAAAGGCCCACCTCGCCAAACTCCTCCTCGGTGAAGGGCACATACGTGGTCTCCTCACATTGCTGCTCCGCAATATCTTCTTGCGCCGGCTCTGCCGGATCCGACTCCGATTCTGACTCCGGACCAGACATGACCGCATTAGGTGCTTCATTCTGGCTGTCTGCGTCCAGATCTGAAAAGATACCCAAACGGATGAGATAAGATTGCAAAGGGATAGCACAATTTCACAGACATTTTTCTAGCAGCCTGAGTCTTGCGGAAAAAAGGGGATAATTGTCCACCTTTCGCGCTGGCACAAAAGCAGAATACTGTGAAGGATCTTTAGCGCTAGGATCAACCATATGTACACCGCAAATTGTAGAGAAATGTTGGGATATCGGCTCCCTATGCCAGGCGGTGAGTTACAAATCACGAATTTTGAACAATGATTTCCAATGCTACTTTAATTTCAGATGATGACTAGCTAACGTTGAGGGTAGAACCAAATTGGATGTAGAAGATTTTTTCTTTCATTATTTCTAAAACTAATCAGATAAAAATATACTTGAAAAGGCAAAAAAAAAATTTTTTATTTTCGACTTAAAAAGTTATAGGTAGGAACTTTGAAAAAAGACTCAATTTCAGATCAATTGGCATATTATTCCATTTCAGAAATATGAAAATACAACTAGCTTCCAATATGTTCTCCCCCCTTAATGATAAACAACTATACAAAAACGACAGCAAGGAGGGGGCGTTTTCACCCTTGACGTTCAGTCGAAAGCGCGGCATCATTAGACAATCGGGCGGAGCACTAACGGGACGCAAACCCGTCTGGCTGTGATTATAGTCTTCGTCGTCATCATCACTTGAGCTGCTGTTGCACAGGGTGGCACCCAGCGACATGGACTTGCTCATAGGACTTAAGTGGCGTCGTTTTCGCTGAACCATGCCCATGCCCAATCTCACGCCCATGCCCTGCTCTACGCTGGAGGCATCGCTGTACGAAGTCTTTCGCTGCTCCGATTGATGGCCAAAACGTGGCAGACGCTTGGTGCGCTCCCAGTTGCTAACGGCGCTGCTGTAGAGCTGCTGCAGCAGTGGAGTGGGTGCCCGCGAGGCGGACAGGCTGGTGTCGGAGCGCGAGGTATCCACCTCGGCCGATGGCAGTGCCAGGAACTGGGCCCACTTACCGTGATCGTTGAAGTGCTTCTCGTAGTCCGCCTCCGACCATTGTGTCTCATGGGAGACAGGCAACGGTTCACCCACATAACTGGACGACGGTGCAGCTCCTGTACTGCTATTGGAACGCAACAGAAGAGCCGAACACCTCAGAGACAGCTCCAGGGCATCCATCCAACATTTGCCAGCTGCCTGACTGGGAGCTCGGAAAATCAGGTAAGCGGTTGGTAACGGCTGGACAACGGCACCTTTGGTATATAATTAAGATTAGTACTTTGGTTTAGCATATCTCTAATTATTTTGATTATGAATATCACATTATAACATATAACTTGTATTTTGTCTAAAGTTTAAAAGTTCATTCCGCTATTATTGCACATCTTCTTAAAAAGAGTTTACAGTCGACAATTAAATGAACTTAACGAGTTAGTAAAAAACGAAATGAAGTTTTTAATACACCAAATATCAGTATATTAAAACATTTATGAAGTTTAAATTAATTTACCAATGGTTTCCTTGTCAGGTCCTCGCGGCGCCCAAATGGACTGCTCCAGGGGATGGAATAGCTTGAAGCAGAAGCCATCTTTTTTGCTAGGGCGTTCAATAACCTGACAGGAGGTGAGCATCACTGTGCCCACCCAATGGCTGCTCTTGGTCTTTTGGCTCTTGTAAATGAGCAGAAGACCAGGTTTGAGCACACACCACAGTTTTGTCCAGGACTTGAGAGTTCCTCGAACCTAAATAAAATGAAAATGATTAAAATGTAAATAAAGAAATATATTTTTTAGCTCACCTTTAGCCAATCGGCCAGGACTATAACCGCAGGATCTTGCAGGGAGTTCATCAGCTCACTGGCCACTCGTTTCTTCTCCCGCCTGTAGTTTTTCCTCTGGGCCTTGTAGGATTCTTTCCTATTAAGTTTAGCGGCATCAGCAGCTGACTGTAGATAAAAGATCAAATAATTAAATTCAAGCACTAAACCTTTCTCCCATTGCAGCAGTGAAATATATTTAGACACTTAAAATACATTGCTTTATTTCGTAATAATTTTTGCTTGCGCTTACGTCAAAAGTTCGGCGACAATTGCCTTTAGTAAGCTTTTAATTTTCCAAAGCGAAATCCGAAACGCATTGTTCTAATCTAATTAGCATTTATAATTTGTTTAGCTACTGCCGGATAAAAGTGAAAATTTTGTCACTTCAACATGCCAGAATGTGACACGTGGCGTGTTCTTAGTACCCAGACCCATATTTATTACTATTACTATTTATCATACAGCCAGTACAGACATCGATTATAACTAAATTAGACAACAACGTACCGTGGCGACTCTTATCTATGTCCCTACCCTACCCATAAATAACCCAGATTTCCCGTACGGTTTAACAACTCAAAATTAAAGTTAGTTTCTATGTGTGGTGGGGGTATTACTTGCCTTATCTGCCAGATTGCCATCCCGATTGTCTGAGGCCCAATTGGCGATTCCTGTAATATGAAAAATCATATTTTTTGTTTGTTATATTAATAAGAACCCAAGTATCACTGGGATTTGTTTGTGTTTGATGTTTATACACAACATGATGATTTGAATTTCGAAAAGTATCTAATCGATCTAGCAATGAAATAGTAGATATCTCTTTTTGTTTTTGGAAACTTTTCCATCGCCTATTTACGATCCGAAAAACGAGACCAAACAATAACACAACAATGGGAAAAGCGCGAAAAAAGAAAAACACAAATAGTACAAGAGAAGAAAAATGCGCGCACCGACAATGTCTCAAGGTGCGATTCTCGAGGGGCCGAGAGAGGGAAGCCGAGGGTCAGCGGTTTATTTATTTTACAAATATGTTTTATTTTATTTCCCAAGATACTCAGAGGCACACAAGCACACAGTACACACACTAATTTGGGGCAAAGATTCTCTGGGTCTTTTGAGGTCTTAAAGTCTCGAGATCTCTCCGTACCGCCGACTGGCATTGTCAAGTATCTCGCACTTGCACTTTAATCACCGCCGAACGGCCGCTGCCCTCGCTGTCTTTCGCATTCTTATTAATTATTTTTATTGCTCAGCTAAAAATAAAGGCTTCCCAAAAAAAGAGCCAGTCTCTTAATATGCCAAACACAACCGAGTGGAAAATAAAGCGAAGAAAATGAATTAAAATGAATTCATATTCACTTGAAATTATGGTTTTAATATTTTGTCACTTGCTTTGTAGGAGATTCATGACCAAACTGCGTTTTTAATTTTTTGATATTACTATTTATTTTTGCATATTTTTTGTTGTGTTTCGCTCATTCACGTTTTACAGGGCGGCACTACATGTCGTATGCGTGTTGCGATAACTGATTCAGAGACGCCGACCTCTGCTTAGTTTATTTTATTTATTTATTTATATTTTTGTTTCTTCTATTCAATTTTGTTTTTTTTTTAAGTTTATGCCTGCCGCTCGTCCGCTGGCCGCTCGCCGACTGATTGAGATATATTGAGTCTGCCCCGAAACACGCTCACAAAGCACAAACACAACAAAAGCACCAGCGGCGTATGACAAAAGCACTAGGGCAGCGCAGCAGCAGAGGCCCAGCGGACTCAACTACAACAATTATCTGGCTTTCGTCATATAGTTTTTGACAAACAAAAACAAAAAATTAACGTAGAAATTATTTGCCAAGCCAAAATATCTAAAAATGAGAGGATCATCTCTGCCTCAGTTCGTTATGCTCTGGCGTGGATATATACATAGATACTTTGTGTGCTTTTTTTCCCAGATAACGATATCAACGATGACTGCGCTCTCTCAAAATCAAATAAGTACAAGTGAGAGAGCGGTAAAACTCTGCCGGCAAATTATCTATGGGTGTTATTAGCATGTCTAACTGATATATGATCTCACTTTCAAAATGTTTGAAAGTACAAAAACTAATTACATGATGGAATTTTTCTATTTACTCACGATAAGATCATCTTAACCTATCCTAATGTGGGGATTTGAAAATAGAATTTAATATCTTCCAAAAATACATACATATAAATAAAGTAATTTACTTAAATTTTTTTAATAAACTGGCAATTAAGTTCTTGTAAGGTTAACATTATTTTCAGAGCTTTAAAAATTCCTTTTAATTGACGTAATCAACATTCTTTAATTTCAAGCAAGGCCTGGAATTTTTCAAGAGCCAGCAAAGTCGAAAAAAGAATTCCCAAGAGTTATAACAGGAAATATAAAACATATTTGTGGAACTTTAATTAACTTTTTAATTTTTGTGCTTCAATGTTTAAACAAGGTTCTATCGACAGCAAATTTATATAGCAAAGTCGAGGGAAACACCTGCGAAATATATTATATCATAATTATGTCACTCAGATAAGCATACATTTTAGGCCTATCAAGGGTAAAAGCCACTTCACACCTGTTGATATTATGTAGCCCATGAAAAAGAAGAGGATCCAAATAGCCAGGTGGGCAGAGTTAATATCCAATTTTCGACTATTACTCATCACTGAAATCAGAACATGTTTGTGGGTCTTATCAACCATAAGGAGCACTATAGATAACGGCTGAAGTTGGTGATTTGTCATACTCATAGAATCAAAAGGGCCTAATAAATTCTGCTTCACATGGATGAGTCAACCGATTTCTCTAAAGAACCTTGAGGAAATCCTTCAGCAATTTATTATTAGCAAAACGATTAGTGTTTTTTCCTATGTACGGGTATATGGTCTAATTAGTGCTTATCAACAAGGTGCAAAACTTTCTGGTTGTAAAACTCTCATGTATGTCATAACTCTGATGATAAGATATGATTGCCATGGTAAGCATATATCCACAACGGCCATAAGTTGAGTGGCAGGGCACTTTAAGTATTATTAATAATAAACTCGCACCGAACAATCGCAAAATCGTTTGATAATAATGCGACAAAAAAAAAGAAACAATAGCACAAAAAAACTCAACAAAAGTTCTGAGCAAAAATAAAAGGCGAAATGCGTCACACGGAAAATTGGAACGCATGAGGGATTTCTTGGGTGGGGTTTGCCGTATGGGAAGTGCATACTAATGCATCTTTAGCCAGGTCGAAATGCGGGATCAGGTGTTAATTATGAACATTACGAACGTGCTGATAGCTTAAAGCATATCAAAAACCAAAATATCAAACCTCAAGATCGATAAATTATGAGTATGGTACTGATCAAAATATTATTTTTTTCATTTCTGATGATAAATGCTAAAGTGCTACGGATGTTGTATAACCCAATAATTGATCGGATGTGACGATCTATAATTTATATATTTTGTGTGCGAATCAGGCAATGGAAATAATTACTAGCATGCGTATCGAATTTTTGAAAGCAAAACTAAATAAAAATTGAATGACCAGGTGATGAATGAGGACTTTGGGCTCGTACTGATCGAAAAGATCAAAGCAACTTCAGCCTCAGTGTTTCGATAGATGGCGATCTTTATTCAAAGCAAAATTAATATGTTCATGATAATAAAATGTGGATTTTAACTAAATATGAAATCTTATCATCTAACCAATTAATGATAAGAGAGCCAATACACTAAAGAAATTAAGAGTAAGATCTAAAAATAATGCTTGTGAGACAATAAATGATTGATTAAAATAATAAGTGATTAACTACGTTTGTCCAACTGTGCTGGAATTTTGATTTATTTTTTTTGGAACTTCACCTGGCGATGATGGCGCCGGACTGTTGCTCAAACTGTCCGTGGACGGAAGTTTGGTCATGAGCACTTTAAGCGAGGGTCGCCGTTTGAATTTGAAATCGAATACTGAGGAGCAGTTAGCAGCACACACATAAATACGGGGGAGAAAGAGAAAGCGAGCAATATATATATTTTATATAGGATTATTGGCTTAAAGATCTAAGTTCACTGGTACAGACAGTTTTAGTTTTTACTAACGACACACATATACACCGACAAATTGTACAAATAAAGTTCTTACCACAAAAAAGAAAACTTAGGGATAGTATTACGAAACACACACAGAATGACATACTTATAATCGGACAAAGACAGATAAATACACAGCAAAAATAAGTTTTAAATCAGAATAATAATAAAAACATTGAAAAAACAAAACCAATGAAAAGTTAGAAGAGTTTTAAAGAGAACATTTTTTTAATTGTTCAGCTATTTATGTTAAACCCAAAGAAAAATTAAGTTGCAAAAGCTTAAACCAAACGTAAAGAAGTTGTTTTAAGCAATTTAGTTCTTGAATAAACATTTTTCCCCATTTAAATAATGTTTACAGTGCGAAATCCTTGACAGGACTCAAGCCTTAAAATCCTCTTAAACCAATCTGGCGTAAGAAAGCCTGGCGAGACAACGCCTCCGAGCACATCCATTACCATTACGGCCTTAATTATGGCCGCTCATCAATTGTCTGCTATCAGACATGGGAGCTCAGCACGCAGCTGAAGCGCCATCGTGGAACGCGAAGAGCGTCAAGGAGGCGCCCGCCTGGCTGGTGGTAATTAAGATTGCGATGGCGATGGCGATGCAGATGCGGATTGGATGGCGATAGGTTGGCCGAGACAATACAGTGCCCTGATTGATTTTAAATAAAGCGCCAACGCCTTGCAGGCAATCAATTTACGCAATTAGAACACGCCTCCGTTGTTTCAAATAGTTCAGAGTTCAGAGTCGAAGTCGTTGCCCACATATTTGACCTACACGTAGAGAAATTATGTAAGCTTTTGGTTTTTGGGGATCTAATTATGTTACCATTTTATCTCGAACAATATACATATTTGTATATTTTAAAGATAATTGTTTAAGCTTATCCTTACTAAATGAATAAGAAGCCTCTATATTTTTCAGTGTCTTGTCGTTTTGTAGAAAATTACGACCAGGCCCCAGCCAACTCTCCCCTTAGCGTGTGGCAGTTCAGTAAATTCCCGGCCGAAGGATACCATCTGATGCAAGACATTGCACAGCACAGAGAGTGCAATTTTGAGTTACCCGCTGGGCTTGGCCCGAAATGACGTCACATTTGGCCGCTGAAATGGCGCCGCTCTAAATGACCCCCAACCTCTCCGTCCCCACCACAAAATATATACATATACTCGTATTTTGTTGCTTCTTTTTTACGTAATCCAATTAGAATTTAGTTGCCTTTCTGTTCGGATATGTGTGCTTGTGTGGTTTGGGGGTCATTGGAGAAACACTTTATGGTGTGCGGTCATCTTGGGTCACTATATTTTATGGCTTTTATAGAGACTTCAACTAGAAAACTTCATTTAAGAAGTGTCCAAGATCAATGAGGATGGCTTACACAAAAAAACACTCAACTTCTACCGTTTGTCGGCCGTCCAGCCAACCCAACGTTTCTCTAATGTTTTATTTATTGGACGGTAATTTGGCCAAAAGCATGCTATAAAATATTCATAGAAACACAGGAAACACCTTCACACACTCTCAAACAGGAACACACACAATCAAGTGACTCGTTCAGTATGCAAATGCTGATGTAAATAGCATTAGTAGGCTGAATCCCTCTAGCTCACAGAGAGAAAAGGCTAGCATTTAGTTAATATTTTAATTATTAACTACTGCAGAAATATTTTTTTTATATTACTTTAGAAAATCTACCATTAACCTTTTACGTTTTTTTTAAATAAATTAATTGGGTTGATTATTATTTTCAGTGTAAGTTGCATCTCTGTTCTGCATTCTCATCTCACTTTTGACCTTTTGAAGAGGCGAAAAATTTTCAGTGAAAACAAAAATAGACCAAGGCGATTGGGGGAGGGTTGAAAAAGATGGTGGTATCCAACCAAATGACCCTTCATTCTTCTTTTTCGTCCTTCATAAAGACTCTTTTAAAACCAGCTGAAAATGGTGGGAAAAAACCTTGATGGATTTGTTTTTTAGGTCTATTAAGTAATTCAATTTAATCTACCTTTAAGGTACAGTAAATCTTGCGATATTAAGAATTTTTAATACTAAAAAAAAGATTTAAATTTTCTTTAAAATAGGTTACTTTCTGGTTTATAATAAAATAAATTAATATTAGTTATTAATAGTCATGAATAGAAACCAATCCCTTGCAAAAACCAACTCACTATTCCACATTCTACAAAAATTCAATTCATTTAAACCCTGACTAGCCCAGAAAAAAGACATCACACTAAAGGCAGTCATGCATCGATTTTTCTTGTTTTTATTTTGTACGCAATTTCCCTTTTTTGCACCTATGAACATTTCCAGGTGCCACAGATGGGTGGGATGTGTTTACCTGTTTGGCAGGTGTAAGCTGTTCTGAACATTTATGAGATGCAGTTTTTCGCATAGATTTTCATGCGGGTACTGTTCATTCGCACCCACTGTGCCAACCGCCCGGGGCCTCAAAAATAAACACTAAAAGACGTAGCGACTACAATGGTAATTATAAAGTCGCTTTCGGATGGAAAATGAATAAGAGTGTGAGTGCTTGTGTCAGCTAATTGCGTATATATACGATATACATAGGTCGCAGTGGGGTGGACCTTGGGGAATACTTAACTAAATGTTTATCACTAAGAATAATACAATTTTGAAGTGGATGTCAGGGACTAAATCCCTAATTATAGTGGGGAGCCACAGATATCAAAACAGTTTCTAATTTGGTAATAAAGCGTTATTGTTTTCAGTGGATAACAGAAATACGGCTTTAGAAATGCATTTTAAATTCAGTTAATAATTATTGCATACTTTTAGACTCCTTTATAAAGCAATTTCAACAGAGAGATTTCTGCAAAAGAATATATATAAAGATATGGTTTATCTATCACAAAGACTATTTCGGACTATAAACACCTTAACTTTCAATTTTCATATCTTTCACCCACAAAAGGTCCACCCTGATTTACACCTATTCATATATGTCTGTATGGAGATATTGTTTAGTAACGGATATATATCTGGGTTGTAAAGTAATACAGCATGCCAATAAAAAATTTAATGACAGTTGCACGCCATAAAGCAAACAATAAACAATAAAGAACAGCAACAAACCACAATGGCAATCGAAGCAAATGGTGCGTGTGCAAATTCCCGTAGACTGACAATGGTAACCAGGTAACCCCCTCGGGCCATCCCAAAACCCTTACTATCCCACGAATCCCCTCAGCTCGAAAAAAAGCAAACATCATATGGTAATCGATAAAGCGCATAAAATATGAGATCAGACAACTAACTGCCAGCAAGTACAGTTAAAAATTGCTGTTAAAGTTAACAGACTTTACGATAAAACTTTTCTAAAATTAAATTCAGACTATTGATAGAGAATTTCTCATATGCAAATCAATAAAAAGAATAGAGTTCTCAGAAATAATTGCCTGACAACTTAATGGCAGTTACAATATCATTTCATTAGCGGATTTTCTATTCTATATTAATGATTGTATATTTTAATAACTGCTCCATTATATTAGAATCAACAAAATAAGTAATTCACAAACTCGAAAAGATACAAAAAAGAAAGCAAAAAGATATCAGCTGGAATATGATCTCATGTCAGAGCAAGTAAATTCAATTAAATAAACATAAAAACTTTTTATAGACTGACAGATCAACGTCGCATATGGTCTTTTGTGATTTATATACAAAAGCCAAAAATAAATAAAACGGCAATGAGAAAATGCTTTAATTAGATCTTAATTTTTAGATAAACAAAACAAAGGCTAACACAATGTGATGTCATCTGTGTAGATTGATAATAAAATTACTACGAAAGCTAACTTAACCGAAAGTTAATAGTGACTCAACATGTTTTTATATAAATATTTCCAGAACGTAATATGAAAATGATTGTTAATTTCCCTATAAATGCGGGTTAACTCAATTACTTGGTTAATCCACATAAAGAACTTAATTACACTGTTAATTGATATGGACTGGCAGATGAACAGCGCATGTGGAGGGTATCTATTGCCATGGAAGCAGCTGTAAACATACGAAAAGTGACAAAGCTTAACCGTGGGTTTCAGCACAGGTGCAAATGGCAAGCGCCAGTTAACCAAATTGACAGTCACCCAACAGAATAACCTCCCCAAAAACATAATATCCGGACCAACAAGTAGCCTAGCAACCCAACCAGTCTGACAAAAGAGTCAGACAACTGGTATGTAAATCAATTAACACCAGCGACTAAAATCTCGCATGGATGAATGGGCCCGCAGAGCGGAAGCGCGTTAAATGATGAACAAAAGCCGGAGTGTTAAGCGATAACGTGGCCCCTGGGATCGAGTGGGATTACGGATGGATGGTTGGATGAATGTATGGATGGGGGAACAGGGTACAGGGTATGGGTCTACGGATTAGCCGGCAAACGGTTGATGAATGAGCTGGAATTTTGAAATGTGAGCAGCAGCAGCAGCAAAATCAAAACAAGCAAAGCACACAGCGCATACGGAAACGAAAAATCAAAACTGAAATCTAGAATCAATGTGTGAATCACAAGAGCGGGCAAAACAATAGCTATAAGAAGCATATACTGGAATGTTTTATCTTTTTATTTTTTACCTCTATTACTTTTTTTTTGTATTCTACTACTACTACTATTTTTAAAATTATTATTAATTTTAATATTGGTTCAATGTCAACTACATTTGCATTTACATGACAAAGTGACGATTTGTTGTTTATATTATATTTGTATACTATGTTTAGGACTTATGTTATGACAGATTGTTATCAAAACAACTTTAGGTGCAAATCAATTGCAAAAATTGAAGTTCTTAAGATTAGAAGTCGTTGATTTTACCCAGTTCTGCTATCTAGGGTTCAAATTCATTTGGGGAAAGTACGACTGATTAATCAGCAAAATGTACCCGATTTCACCTATTTTATGAATGGCTTCTTTGTGCTATTTTTTCGACCGCAATTGTATGAGTGTGTGCGAGTTTGTGTGATAATCTTTTTTTGCATTAGTTTCGATTGCGAGGTGATCGAATCGAAGAGAGTTGGGACAGCGAGTGTAGGTGACATTGAGCGAGAGAGACAAAGAGAAGGAGAACACGACAACGACAACGAAAGGGGCGGGTAAAACAAAGGGGGTCAAAGCTTCTGAACTCACCTGTCGACTGACGCAGTCCGGCGCTATTTGGCGGCGTTATGCTGATTCCACTGACACTGCTGGCGGCGCCAACACTAACGCCCAGCGATTGATTCGATGCGCCCATGGACAGTCCAGTGGGCGTAACAGCGCCCCCCGCCGATGGCAGGGGCGCCTGCAGTTGCAGCAGGTGACCACCGGTGGGTACGCTGCTCGATTGTTGTTGTTGCGGTGTTCCGGGCATCGAATGAGAATGCGGTGTTGAGGGATGCGTAAGGATGGCATCACCACCTCCACCCGCCGCCCCATGCTGTTTGGCACTATTTATGCGTATAGGAGTGCTGCTAGCCCCAGCGGCAGGGGCGGCAGGGGCAATGGGAGTCGCGGAGGGAACATTATTAACAGGCGTGCTGAGCGTTGCGGGTTGCATGGCTTTTGGATCACTCAATTATTGCACTAAATTAGTTCTTTACTCTAATTGTTTCTTTTATATATTAGTTAGACCTCTTTTTCGTTTTTTTTCTTGCTATCAATCAGCAGGCATTGCTCCAATTGTCGTTCTCACCAATACGCGCACACACTCCCCCACTCACAAACATAAGCACTCACACACACACTGTGCCGGACGCAGGGCCAATTATTGATTTTGTTTTAGCCGCTCAAGAGTTTTAACCCCCTTCTCGTGTTTGTTTTTTCACTAGAATTTTGTTTCTTTTTTTTTTTTGGTTTTGCCTAAAAATATAAAATATTGAATTGATTAATTAAAATGAGAACATTCTGATTAGAAGCTCTTTCCAGTAGCTCAGCTGGTCAGCTCAAAATATGAGTTGGTCCAATTGGAAATACGGCCACGTAACACGCTCTTTGAATCTTTTCTTTTTGTTTTATTTTTTTGGTACCAATTAGTTGGGGAAAAAGAAAAAGGCTTCTACTAGCCAGTAGTACTAATACTAAGGCAAATGCTAGTACAATTCTAACACGCACACAAACACTTGTACACGTTTTGTCACACACTTTTTTTATTTCGATTTTCGTTTTTCTTTTCGCGGCTCTCTTTCGACTTCTTCTTTATCGCCTTCCCTCGCTCTCTCACGATGCGGCGTCGCTGGCGTTTCAACTGAAACTGAAGCTGCAATCGTGGTCGCCCGTATTCCAAAAAGCTAAACTTGTTTCTTTTCGCTTTCGTATGAGCTCATCCACCACCACTGTCGACGTCGACGTCACCACCCCCCTTCCAACAGCCCTGTCAACCAACCGCCCACCAAACTAGCGGCATGTATTATTTTCATGACGCGACCAAGACGCTGGAAGTGTGTAAAAGCGAAACAAGCTTTTCGTGTTTTTCTTTTTGAGGGGGATTACAGCAAGCGCGGCGTCAGCTGTTTAGTTTGTATTGGCCAGCCCTGGCCAAGGTTTACCAGGGATGAAGTGCATAACAGTCAGGGATGCGCAAAAAGTAACTGACACTGTTAACTCAAAGCTTAACATTAAGTTTATGTGCTCGACCGGACACTTGACAGAAACTTTTAATTAAAAATATTAATTTGTATTTTTCGAATTGGTTTGGTTTTTAATAAGCACAACAGTTCGTTTTAATTGCTATTATTGTATGTACATTGATAACATTTTCTTTATTTCAGGAAATGGAAAGCGCATGATATTTGTTAACATTAAGCGAAATACAAATTTCAAACATCAGCATACTTTCAAAAATTATAATGATTTAAGCATGAACTTATTTTTTGGCAAACAAATATAGATTTATGTATGAAATATAAATAGTTTTTAAGAACATATAGAATTTTAAAAATGTTTTAAAATTTGCATTATGTTACTTTCTCTTAAATAGGAGAAAAATTTCTTATTCTTAATCTCTATAAATATTTGCCTATATTTTATAGCTACTAAATAGACTGCAATAATTAATATTTAAAAATAATGTATTAAAAAAGTCAATAAAAATGTAAATTATTTCTAATAAAACTACATTAGTGTTTTTTAATTATTTGGTCGAATTAACAATACAATTATCAGTGCATTATTGGCAATTTTTTATATCTAAGTAGGTTATAAATTAACTGAAGTAGGCTTATAATCAATGGCTGAGTTATTTTTTATTTAGATAAGGCTTACATATTGGTCCCTAAGCGCAAAAATAGTATACTACATATACATGAATAAAAGTTCTATAATTATGTATCACATTTTTGGAACCGTAAGGATAATATCGAGCTCTCAGCAGATATAACAAATGAAATAAACAAAAAAAAGATATGTCTTGTATCTATGATAATAAATAAATACCCTTCTTGCATCATCTTTGAAGAAATTGATGATTGTATGGAAACCTACTTAGCTCGTTATAAAGGAAATCGCCGACCGATAAGCCGTTAACCCAAAACAAACAATCAATGAGCAATACTTGAGATCAGTTAATCCAATAAATGAACTTCAGATTGCTTGATTTTGATTAGGATTATAGGAATATCTATTCATGCCACTTATTCTAGGCGATCGACATTTTTATGAATATTTCAGTATGCCAATCGAAGATGGTTATCCGTGTTGGGGGCCTATCTGGAGTGTTGATTCTGCGGATTTTGACCGGTACGAGGAACTGCAATTGTTATTATTTATACTGAGTGCTATCACGATTATGTTCTTATCGCCATGAGAGCTACTGTAAAACTCTCAATTCAAATCGAATTGATAAAGTCGGACAGGAGCACATATAAAACCTGGTCCGTCCGTGCGTATAGCATTGTGAAAGTGAAAGCCAAATATACACCATGAAGTACCTCCTCAGCATGACCTTGCTGTTGGCCATTGGGCTCCAGCAGATCGATGCCCACGGCATGATGCTGTCCCCACCCAGTCGCTCATCCCGCTGGCGTTATGATGGATCCGCTCCCCAAAACTGGAACGACAACGAACTCTTCTGCGGCGGTTTGTATGTGAGTGAAGATACTGTACCATTATTTTAAAGGGATTAAAGAAAATCTTCAAATCTATCTTTTTATCGATCGACAAAGATAAATGTTTGATGGAATTTTGGTTGATATGATAGATTGAGCTAGTTCAACCTTCTAAAGGTTTAAAAAATATTCTAAAATCCTGCGCTTCCCTCAGTCCAAAGATGAATTCGTATTCCAAAGTTATCTGTAGTGATTCATTCAATTTCAATATCGAGGTCTTTGTACTTGGGTACTTAAAGATTATACTAGTTATGTTTCTATGAATTCATAGACCCAGGCCAACAACGGAGGTCGTTGTGGTCTGTGCGGAGACAACTTCTCTGAGGGTCAGCCACGTGCCAACGAGATTGGAGGTTCTATCGGAGGTGCCGGTGTGGTAACCAGGAGCTACGTGGCCGGTAATGCCATCACCGTGGGCGTTAAGATCACCACCAATCACTTGGGCTACTTTGAGTTCCATCTGTGCAATCTTGATGCCTTCGGTGGCGAGTCTGAAGAGTGCTTCGAGCAGAACCGTTTGCGTTTCCCCGATGGCAGCGATCAGTTGAATATTGGACAACAGAGTGGCGAATTCGATGTTACGATTGTGCTGCCAGAGGGTGTTACCTGCGATCATTGCGTCCTTCGATGGACCTATACGGGTGGTAAGTACTACATAAAATTTATCACTAACTTAAATATTAACTGAAAAACATTATTTATCCAGCCAACAACTGGGGCATCTGCGATGACTCCGGCAACGGAGCCTTGGGCTGTGGCCCCCAGGAAACCTTCAAGAACTGCGCCGATGTAAGCATCAACTGGGGCCGCAACCTGGTCAAGGAGTTGGTCAGTGGTGGCCTGCCCGTGGCTCCCATTGAAGTTGTCTAGGAATCCTAACAACAAACTATGAACTGCCATTTAAGTCTGAAAGTGCTAAAAGCCAAATAGTCAGCCAAAGTTAAAAATAAACATAAATGAACATTATAAGCATTATTTAATTGGGTTAATCGTGTGTAATCTTTATATATTACTTGATTTATGGCTTAAACGACTTGATAGACCTTTTTTTAGTCTACTTCCATTGTGATACATACGTAATCCAATAATTACTCGTAAGGAAGCAGTTTTGGTTTTATGATCAAGTTAAAATGAAAGCCTAAAACTATGCAAACAATATTTTACCTATTCTCTTTATCTAGGTATAAGTGGTTAAGAGCTCAAACCAAAATTATAAGTCCTTCAATTTGAAAAGCAACAAACTGGAGTCTGGATATATCATTCATTCATTGATTGATAAAAACTATGCATTATGTACAATCATACGATTAATACAAATAAATAAGACTGAGATTATTTAAAAACTACTAGTTAATGTTTAAATGTCTATAATATGATTAACTAACCATTCATTAAACCAAATATTGGCTTTCGAATAATGTCCATTTATATAAAACTATATTTTATTTATTTCTATTCAAAACCTAAATACTTCTCAAAACTAGTTTCTAACTAACTCAGTTAATAGCGCCGACTACTTTAAATTCAAATCCTAATATTCCTTTGTTCGTTGACATTCGCCTATTACATTTTTTATAGGTCAAGTAATTTTTGGCCAACAGAGCACATTCACACATTATTACACACATTCTCCAACCACAGAAAAGTTCTATGGAAAATTGCAAGCGCTATTATTTTCATAAATAAATAAAAAAAACCCGATTGGTTAATTTCTCAAACCAAAAATATAAGTTTTTTAAGCCTGAAAGGAAGAATGCTAGATAAACCAATCTAATACATACTTTTACTCTACCATAATCTAATATATACTTTTACTCTATTCTAAAAAGATTCGAAGGCACTACTTAGAATAAAATTTACGCAAATACAAAAAAAAGTTCATTTAGTTTTTAATTATTTGTACAGCAATAAACGGTTGAATAACTATGTAGAAGATACAAATATAAGTTTTTAGTTAATAAAGAAATCTTAACATTTTGGCATTCCTGACATGTCTCTAGGATTTTTACATTTATGAAAAATGACAACATAGCAGTTTCGTCGCTATTTGGGTTTATGACTTTTTGCCAGATTTTTTCTTAACGGCTTAACTTTTTATTTTATAAGAAATGAAATCATATACAAAAGATAATTTAAAGGTATTTTCTTCCTAGCGTTTCGACTTCTTAAAGCCTTAATAGTTATACATTTTGCCATAAATATAAGTACAATCAAGTAAACTTTGATTACCCGCAGTTGTGCCAATAGAGCACATATGCTTAACCACAAAGGTTTCTAAAAAAGGAGAAAGGTGTCTTTAAGGGTCAACACTAAAGAAAAATGGATGATTTCCGAGGTTGGTACAGAAATGCCGACTTTAACCGAACTCAAGAAGGATAAAGGTATAGGAAGAACTATTCTTGATCTTTTTAAATTTTTTTAAGTGTATATATATGGAACAATCTTGTGGTTTTCCAATAACCTCTGGCCTATAAAAGGCATATAAAAAGAATTCGTATTTATATTGAAGCGAACATGGAAGCAAACACTACTAAGGAAAAGTTTTTATTTGAAAGAGATATGACAGAAGGAAAGCCAAAAAAAAAACAAATCGATGTCGATGACTTTATGCGCCTGCCGGTGATCTTCTACAACTCGATTGGTGTGCGGCCATTTGAAATTGTTGGAAAATCAGGAAATTGGATTCATTGGTATTTCGGGATCAGTGTTATTAATATGTCAATAGTTCTGACAATGCAAATAATCTTTGTGGTGACTTCATTTCGTGATAATGGAGACATTCTTTTGACTTGCAACATTATGGCATTCATAGCATGTGTGACAGTCGGAGTCCTAAAGATCATTGCTATTCAAATGGAGTCGCGTGAAATGACCAACTTGGTGGGACAGTTCAAGTCCTTTTCTCCATTACCAAGTGAATGGCAGGAGCCATATTTAAGAAGATGCAAAACCGTCACATTGGGTTTTGGGGGTCTATTTTCGATTATGCTCTTCATACACAGCATATCACCCTTTGTACAATATGCTTTTCAATCATGGTGGCTGCACTTACCAAACGTCGCTAGAACTCTGCCCTTTGTGTCCATGGCTCCTTGGGAATGGCGCAAAAGTTGGAGATACTATCCAACATACTTGCTACAAATGATCGCCGGATATACAGCAGTTTGTGGTCATATAGCCGCCGATCTTACAATCTTTTCTATGACTATGCTGGTCACTATGCATTTCGATAAATTGACTGAAAGTCTGAGGAACTTTGACATTCGAAATAACCGCATTAGCAATGGAGCTGAAGAGGATCTGAAAGAACTGCGGTCATTGATAGCTTATCACAACCAAATAATCTGGTTAGTTAACCGAGGATCACAAGAACTTATTTTTATATACATGTGTTTTTATCAATAATATCTTAAAGACTAACTAATGTTGTAAACAAGGTCTTTGGAATACCGTTGCTGTTAAATTTTGTATCCTCATCAGTGCTAGTTTGCCTGGTGGGCTTTCAACTGACCCTTGGAATCAGTATTGATTATTTCTTCAAGCAGCTGGTAATAATAGTTGCTCCACTACTTGAGGTCTATCTACTTTGTCACTTCAGTCAGATGCTGATCACTGCGGTCTGTTAAGTATAACTTCTCTAAGTTTTCACTAAATTTGTATTTTCAGAGTGAGAATGTCAGCTTTGCTGTCTATGATATGAATTGGTTTGAAGCTGACGTCCGTTATCGGAAAATGCTAGTTTTCCTTGCATTGCGGGCCCAGAAGCCCGTTTGTTTAACGGGTACCGTTTTCTTGGATGTTTCCATTGGGACTATGAGTTCTGTGAGTTTGGACCTATTTGCTAAAATAATAACTCAAGTACAAACAAACATTTTCAGTTCTTGAAATTTTCGTACCAGTTCTTTTGTGCCCTAAGAACGATGTATCAGTAAAATAACTTAGAATATTGTTAAATATCACTAAAATTTTTAATAATTGATTATAATATAGTGCACTTTAGAATGTTAAAAAAATCATAGAGTTTATATATCTTTTCCAGGAAAAATAATATATTTTTATTGCCAGCTACCATTATTGTGATAGGTTCAACCAATCTGCCTTAAACTGTATTCATTATACCAATGCTCTTGAGACATTTTAACCTTGGCTAACAATTTTAACGTAACGTGAAAAGTTTCCTAAGCATTGAACCCTTATCATAATGGCATTGGTGGGTTAAACACCAAGGGTCCAATAAAAAGTCTTTCGAGCTATTATGATTCGATTGCCAAAATTGTACGTACTGGCTTAATGTGTCATAGGTGTTTTGCCAATTCCCCCAGGTCAGATACTAAAATTCTCCTAAATTTTAACTACCAATAATCGTAAACAAAATGGAGATTATTTAGGCGATAAGAAGTATTCACGGTTATTTGGCGAAAAATCAAAAACAAGCATAAACGGCTCGGCAACTGATAAGGTTTGGGAATATGAAACTATATAAGACTTCGACAAGGTCTTCTTTGACCAAAAAGAAAGCGAAAGTGAAAGCAAAATGAAAGTCTTCAGCTTAATCCTGTTTATAGGTTTCGGCATCTTCTGCTTGGTAAGGGAACTGGAAGGCCATGGCATGATGTTAAGTCCTGTGGGAAGATCTTCACGTTGGCGTTATGATTCCTCGGCGCCAACAAATTACGATGATAATGCCTTATATTGTGGTGGTTTCTGGGTGAGATTAACTTAATAAAAGATGTTATAGGCATCTTATTAAATACTGATTCTGATCCCTTAGAAACAAACAGAAAATGGTGGAAATTGTGGTCTTTGCGGAGATGATTGGAGCTTGGATCAGCCTCGTCCCAATGAGTTGGGCGGCAAATATGGAAGTGGAGTGATTGTGAAGAGTTATGCTGGCGAAACTGAGGCTGAAATTAGTGTTAAGATCACGGCCAATCATCTGGGCTATTTCCGATTCCACATCTGCAATTTGGATGAGAATGGCAGCGAATCCGAGGATTGCTTTAATCAATATCCTTTGAATTTCACCGACGGCAGCTTGAAGTACAATATCAACTCAACCACTGGTGATATCCCAGTAACTGTGAAACTTCCCTCAGATCTGAATTGCGTTCATTGCGTTTTGCGCTGGACTTATACGGCGGGTAATAATTGGGGTGTTTGTGAGGATGGATCGGGCGCCATGGGCTGTGGTGACCAGGAAACCTTTATTAATTGTGCAGATATCAGTGTGCTATCCTCAGCCAGGAGCATCTTCCAGGAGGTGCCAGTAGAGGTGGTTGAAACCGTTTAAAAGGGTTATCATCTGTGGCCAAGCGAACAATTTAGTTAATCTCAATAAATTATTTATATATATTTTAAAAACGGTATTTTGTAAAACTTTTTATAAGGAAAATCGGGGCTTTGCATGAATATAGTAGTATTAAGTGTTTTCAACTCTATATTACAGATCATAATCAAAAACAGGATCGAATTAGATTTTTCTGACTGTCAGCTTTGAGATCTCAGAAACTATATAAGATAAAAAGTTTGGATTAAGCATGTGGATTCTAAAGATGAGTAGGCAGTACAAGTTTGTTTCACCAGCCGGCCATGCCCAATCTAACGCACACCACTTGCGAAAAACTGTGATGTACGTTGTCTTAAGACTTTTGTTTTGATTTCATCTTTTATAATACTTCTTGTCTATGCCTTTAGTTGTACCAAAACGGCCGTCGACAGTAGCCCTTCTTCTTGTATTTTATATCTTTTAAATAATTAAGTTTCAAAGGTGTCTAAAGTGTATATGTCACATGATCATTTCTGTAGTCAATCTTCACATACTTTCACACTAGCTGATAAAAGATATCTCAGAATAGAGAATTATCCTCATAACTAAATAAACAAGGACAAATTCAAATTTTTATGAATGTATATTTTTCTTTTATTCCATAAATTTATCATCGTATATATTTATTTATACATATATATGTATGTGAGTGTGTTTCGTGTGTCTGTGTTTGTAGATTGTTGGTGATGATCGTTTGTATCTTGGAGGTCCAAAGACTTTTCCTCAAATGGATCCTACCAAATAATGATTACTTCCGTTCGAAATTCGTATTAATAACGATCGGATGACATTTGCACATTTCAATATTTAAATATTCTGTTCGGTTGTTGTATTTGTTTTGTTTACGCTATCCTGTATATGTTCGTATTTGTATATTGTATTTTAATATTCGTAATTTGTCTTAAGTGTTCCGTGGCTTACAAAATACGTTTCACAATAACTGGCTTATTATTTAACTTCACAAATAAGTTGTATGTATATATGTATATATATATATATTTTTTACAAAGCCTTCAAAAGTCAAATGCAAATTAAAAATCGGGAAATTTCACTACATAACTCAAAGGTCGCGTTTTAACTTCAGAATTGTGCCATCAATTTGTTGACTTAAGAATATTTCTTGGTTTCCGTTTATCTTTTAACAATTAATTAACTAAACAAACCGCAAACAACAGTGTATGTGTTTAATCTCGATTGCCACTAGAGATGTATGTAGATATATACTCGTATATATAATATATATTTAGCTCTATGTTTTGAGGAGAGTTCAGCTACGATTTAAAATGCCCTCCTCGATTAAAAACTATAAAAAACACACTCGCCTTTATCGTCAAAATGTGCGAATCGCTCACAACTGAATTACAAGAGTTTTGAACCCTTCTTCTCCTTTTTTCAGGGGGTTTCGTTTCTAATTCTCCTCCATTTAAAAGCATTTTAAAATACAGTGGATCCCCGTTTGAGAAAAATAGATGTATATATATATATATATATTAATGTGGGGGGAGGTGGCCCGCTTTTGCTTCTCTACCAAATATTTTCTTGTTATAAAAGCACCTTATAAATTTTACACGTACTCGCAAAGTTTACTCACTTTCCACTTGCTTGTATAAATAGCTAAATAGTTCATCTTTTACTTTGTTACTTTGTTCAAAAATTGTCTTTAACATTATACAACACTATTCTGTATTTTTGTTTTCCTTTTTGTAATACCTGAATTTTAGAATTTTGTATCCGAAACGCCATTTTTTGTTTGTTGTTGTGTTTTTTTTTTTTTCGTTTTTCTGACTGAGTTTGTTACCATTTTTCTTTTGGTTCTCATTCTTGTAATTGCCAAAGTTTGTTTAGTATTTCCTGTTAGTTTCCCTTTTTTTAGCTGTGCTTAATTTTCTTAGTCCGAAAAGTTTGGTTGCCAAAAATGTTCTTTGTTGTATCAGTTTTTTATTTTTTATGTTTTTTGTATAAGTTTTTCGAACTTGGTACAGGTCAATAAGTTTGTGTTTCATCTGCACTTGACCTAATTGACAAACAATTTGTTTTTTTTTTAGCTTAATTTCCATATTTAAATATTGTTACTTAAGCTTTGTCATTGGCACAAGTTTGCTTGCTTGAGGGGAGGAGTTCGGGGAGGAGGTGTTGGAAAAAATAAAACAGGAAACTCTTGTGTGTTTTTCTACTACAATTAAGTTCACACATTGGTTGGAAATTTGCTTATAAACTTGGTTTTATTTTTGTTTTTATTTGTAATTTTTTTTAACATTAACACACTACAGTTTACGCTCATTCGCTTTTTATCATATAAAATTTCGTTTGTTCACTAATTAATACAAATAACTAATAGGTAATTAAAACTTATTATTACAAAGAAACTATAATTAAAATATTATTTAAAACGAAACTAAAAAAAAACTATAAGCGACTACGTGAGTTGATTTGAAATTTTACAAATTTGTTAATTTTTTATGTGCAGTTTTATTGTTCTGATTAATTTCTATAATTGCAGCGTCCAGCAAGAATTGGAACCAAATGGAAGCCGCATTTGAATTCACATTTTTCATATTTTTTATTTATTGCGTATTTTAAATTATTGTAATAACTATAATGTGGATATTGTTACTATATTTCGTTTTTCATTACTAGGTTATTTTTTTTTCGTTTGTTACTTTATTTTGAGTTTCTGTAATCTGTTAGAGTTTTCTTTAATTTTCACTAATTTTTTTGCAACTGTTGAGTCTTCGGGAAAAAGAAACTTGAAAGTGTGACTGAAAGTGGAAGAAAGTTTAATAAGAAGATTACTTAAGATTAGAAAGCCGTATAATTAAACACATAAATCAGCGACAACATTAAATAATTAACAATTCACAAAGAACATAATTTTGCATACGATTAAAATGCAGTCACATACTTAGGATATTAGTTTACAAACTAAATTTAAATCAACCGAAAATGGTAAACAATATTAAATAGTATATTGCAGCAACAGTGGAAGACAGTTAGTTCTCGCATTCTCTCTCTTTTTTTGTTTTTAGTTTTCTTTTAATCGTCTCTGGGTAGTAAATTTAATCAAATTATTTTCTTTTTGAAGTTTATTTTTCGGTGTGTGTGTGTGGGGTGTATGTGTACAATTTAAAAACAGGCTATACTAAAATAATAATAATAAAATATATATATATAAATTATAATTCAATTAGACAACAGTGTAAAAAGCCAGTTCAGGGAAATGTACATACAATTTAAAAAGGTTTTCTTTTCGCATAAACTTTTGAGAACAAAAGCAAACAGTTTAAAAGCATTTAGATGTGTGTTCGTGTTTGTGTGGGTGTGTGTGTGCAATTGGGTGTTAGTGTGGGTGTTGGGGAAATGGGAGTTAGTTTTGTTCTCGTTAAAAATTTTATGACTAAATATACAATACAACTACAGTGTTCATTTCAAGTTTCTTACTGTTTGTTTGATTTATACAATTTTCTTTGCTTGTGCTTAATACACTTCAAAAATTAATGTGCAATTTAAGTTAAAGCTTAACCTCTATTTTCGTAGTTTTTTTCTTTCGCTTAGCTCATCCAATTTGTTAGTTGCAGTTTTCTTTTTTGTTTTGCCTGTAAATTAAAACCTAAGCCTTTACGCGGGGATTATACAATGTTTCCATTATGTACGCTTTTATAAGTTTTTCCTTTTGTTTTGTTTTTTTTTTTTTGTTGTTTTTATGTATGTACTTCATATATGCTTCAAAAGTTCAAATTTTCATCAATATTTCTATCTTTCCTCTCTGTGTGTGTGTGTGTGTGTGCTTTCTCCTGATTTATTAAGCTGCTTAATAAATTCATTCGTAATCAGTTTCTCCTCTCTGCTCACAAATTACGCCTGCTTGTACATAATATATTTCTGTATGCCTATTGTAATTAAAAATTTGTAATTTTTTTCTATTTCCTCTGTGTAACTTCTCTTGCTATTAACAGTTAATAATAAAAACTAGTTAACCATGCATCTCATGCATGAGCTGTTGCTAAATGTGAGCTTTGTTTCTTCTCCTTTGTATCTCCCTTATTTGTGAGTGTGCGTTGCTGCAATGGTTGTTGTTGCTGTCGATTCGTTTACTATCCTTAAGTAATCTTGTCACTTGCAGCAAACAATCTGTTGTTTTGTCCTGTTTTCTGGAAAACTCCTCCTCCTAGTCCTTGTCCTTGTCCACTCCACTTTACTTGTACTTGACATCAGATTCAGTGGCTTTGGTGGCGGGATGGTTCGGCTGCTCAGAGTGTTGCTGCTGTTGTTGTTGTTGGTGACCACCTGTCGTTCAAAAATATGGTAAAACATCTTTACAATGTTTTTATTGAGAAGTGGAAATGAAATTAAAAAATAGTTCAAATAATGAAATGAATGCTTATAAAGTAAAATCCGAAAATTGAAGTAAAAGTTTTGAGATAAAAATTTAATTTTAATATAATTTAATCTCCTTATTCTATTTAATTCCCCAAAAGATCCCCAAGACAACTGAAACAACAACTAGAACACAAACTTAACTGAAACTACTCGGATAGATTGCTCTCTAAACCCTATTCACCATTTTACAATAACGCTGAGAAGGACCTTAAGCATTGGCTTTCATTTCTTCTTCCTTAGACAACTCAATCATTATAATAGCAAACTCAGCCACCTAGATTAACAGAATTCTAAACTTCTAAAAGAAAAGTGTCCCAATCTAAAAAATAAAATCTTAAGATGACTTATAATTACCTGCCGCATTGGTGGCCTGCACATTCAAGCCGACGCTACTGGCACTCAAAGTGGTCGACGACGAGTTGGAGTCGGACGGCGTGTTGGGGCCCGCTGAGTGCGGAGTGCAGGATGCCTGGCCCAGCAGCTTCTGGCGCACCTCTCGTATCTTCAGCTGCAGATCTTGCTTGCGCGGAAAGACATCGATGTGCTTGGTCTGTAAATAAGGATTACCATTATTGCATCTATTGGGAGACAGAAAATCCTATGGCTAACTTACTTGAAAGGCTATGGTGGCCTGGGCAGTGGGAAAGTTACCGTGCTCGGCAAATAGTTGCATAACCAGATGGCGACGCGTCTCAAGCACCTTGCGGTGACCCTTCTCACTGGCATCAGAGCGAGCACTTTGCAGCGGTGTCTTTGGCGTCCTGGGCGAGCGGCCCGTTGGGTCAGAGCTTTCCAGTTCTGCAAGGCGTTCGTCTTCATTAGGCATTTGAAAATAAAGGTAAAGGTATAAAGTCAAAGTCCACTAAAACGTTGTCCTCTTAATTTAAATTTCAAGCCTTTTGTAGTTTTTAGATCAAATTTTACATTTAACAGACTCAAACTTTACAGGAAATTACTTTAAACAAAAATATTTAAACTAAGCTTACCCTTCAGCTCATTGGTGAAATCTGGACCAAAGAATCGCTGGGTGGTCGTGGGCGGAGCCGATGCTGGTTCGTCGATGGAATCGTCCTCGCTCACTAAAAAATTTATAAAATATGATATTTTGGTTCATGTTGCAAGTACTGCTGAATTCAATACTTACATAGTTTCTGAACTGGCGGCGGAGCCGTGTTTTTCTTCCGGTAATTTGTGCCGTAGACGCGCGGCGAAGAGGGCACAGCAATGGCACTAGGCGAGTGGCAATCCTCCGGCTGGAACTGCGGCAGAGCCTTGTACTTCTTCTCAAAGTCCACCTGCTTGAGCACGCTGCTGTGGTTGCAACAAAGTTAAATAGAGTTATCTTTGGGGACTACTTAATGGTCTTACTTGTTCATCTCATCGTTCTTCTTTTTGAGGGCTGCTGATCCTGGAGCTGCCTTCATCGGTGACTTGGGCTGCTGATTGATATTACTATTGCTGCTGCTCGTGGTCGGTGTCAGAGGGAGTTGCTCATCGCTATTTGGCGTCGTTGTTGAGGACGTGGGCGTAGGCAGTGCCGAGCTCAGACTACTGCTGTTCACATGGCCAATGATCGGCGATGAGGAATCCATCATTGTGGGAGAATGCAGCTTACGGCTGATGTGCTGCCCGTTGCTGGCTCCCAGATTAGCTCCAAAGGACACATTATTCTCTGACTTGCTTTGAGCTGCAAGGTCAAAGAAATAGAATAAGTCTTTTTCCGTGTTAATTATCAAGAAAAACACTCACATAGATTCTTGCGCCGCTGCAGTGGAGCTCGTCCCAATTGGGCAGGCGTAGGGGCCAATATAAACTGCTGACCATCGGCGTCCATGTCACAGTCATCCCCTCCACTTGCTGCTGCTGATGCACAACCACCCATTCTACCCTCCATACATCGTTCTGGTGGTGCACTCATAAGATATGAGGCCGATTTTGGGGTAGAGGGCATTGATTTGTACGAGGGCGAACTAGCCGGCGGTTCGGCACTATGGCTGGGCGTATATCCATGCAGCATCATCGTGGGCTGTGCACTAACGGGCGGTGGCAGCGAAGATAGACCATTGTGATTCTTAAAAATGTAACTTCCTGGCGCAAAGGCGTCCAGCTGCAGGTGGTCCGCTTGCTGGGAGCGCGGCAGCAAAGGGTACTGTAAAGCCTATAACAATCTTATTGAAATGTACTAAAAGTGTATTTTCGTGTAACTTACTGGATTGGTCATGGCGAAGAACACTTTCTGACCTGGCGCTGGTCCACCTCCCATGATCTGAGCGGGTGCCGATGCCGGTGGCGTGGCAATGCTGGCTGGATGTCCTAAACCCATGCCTGCCGGCGATGATGGCACACACGCCTGGTGGGCAGCTGCAGAACAAGAAGTGGAATTGGTGGATGAGGAGGGTGTTGTGGTTGAGTTAATCATGACAATGCTGGAGCCACAGCTGGCCACAGGAGCAGCTGATGCTGCTGTGATGGTTAGTTCGTTGGCATTACTACTACTATGATTTGTGGTCGCTGCTTTTGTTAGAACAGTAAGAGTTGCTCCTGGCTGAGTGGTAACTGCTGCCCCAGGTGTCGTTGCTGTTGCCGGTGCCGCTGTCAGGATGCGGGCATTGGCTGGCAATGTGATCTTATTACAAGCATTAATACTTATGAAGGACACTGGCCGAAGGGTTGCTGCTCCGGACACGGGAGTTGTTGCAGTTCCAGCCACATGTTGCTGGTTGTACGCGTTGACATCGGTGATCAGTAGCATGGTTGCAGGTTGGGATGTGGCAACTTGCTCTTTGCCACCTAACACCTTTGGATCTTCCTGTCTTTCGCCATTCCCTTCACCATCCTCGTCATCTTCATCCTGACCGTGCAAAGTGTCCAGGACCAAGGCGTCATAAAGGATCGCTGCTCGTCCTGTGCCCTTGTGACTGCCACCGAGTTCACCTCCTTCTTGTATGGTCAGCAATTTTCGTATGATTGGCGTGGCATTGTTGTTGTTAGTATTACATTGTGTTGTTGTGGTTGTCGGTTGGTGTTGTATTGGAAAATTGGAAAATTTATTAGGGGCTTCGCTACTGCCTTGGTTTGATGAAGATGATGCTGATGATGTGGATGTGACCGTGGCAATCACTGGTGAACCCTGAACCTTTTGCTTGAAAAACAACGGTGGCGGTGTGTTATGAGGATGGGAATGTGGATGTGGTTGCGTTCGAATGATGGTGAAGTGATTGATGGTGGGCGTGGGCACACGGGTGATAACCGTCGGTGGAGTCTCCCCACGTCGCTGATGCAGATGCTTCAACTGCTGGTGCGGTGAGTTTGAGGGTTGCAGCGGCGTCAAGGATCTAACTATGGTGAACTGTTTGCGTTTGATGGGTGTCACAATAGTTGCCACTGGAGGTGGAGTTGGGGTGGGAGTTATAACAGCCTTGGGCATTGCACACGGCGTAAGGTCATCGAAACCAGCGCTGGCATTTACACTGGCCAGCTCCTGCATGAACTGCTCGTCATCCTCATCATCTTCGTCATCATCCTCCTCGTCTTCATCCTCATCCTCATCTTCATCTGCCTCTTGATCATCCAAGTTTGGATTCTCCTTTTCATTATTTTCTCCCAACTTGGCCCCCTTAGTATTATCTGCCCCTTGTGCCTCTTCTTAAACGATCAATTGATTGAGTTTTGTATGGGTGAGGTGATGGAAATAATCAATAGTGAGGTGTGTTTTAATTGTGTGTGAGATAAGGAGAAAGTGAAAGAAACAGAGAGAGAGAGAGAGATGTTATGTTATGCAGAAAGCTTTCATGGGAAACTCTTTGCGGATGAGCTTGCGAATGTCAAATGAATAGTTGGAATTGGGCGTGAGGCGATCGATGCAAGTGCTGGGGAGGTTCCAATTTAGTTTTTCTCCAATTTGGTTGTTCAAGGACATAAATTTTAAGTAAAAAACGATACGAAAATAAAACCATAGTAGAAATAATGCCGTTCTAGCTTACAACTAAAAAAAGTTAAAATTAATAAATACAAAACAATATATACAAAATACGATAATAAATAATAAAATAGTACATTTTGTAAAAATTCTTTTACAGGATGTTGGAGACTCAATCTTATCTTCTCAAATCCATTAATCTTTTTCCAAGGCTCATTTGACTCACCTCTCAAATCCGTTGGACTGCGATGGGGATGGTGCATGGGGTAGTGGAACTGCTTCTGACTCAAAGCCGTTGCTGTTGGCACATTAAAGGTGAAAGATGGCACCGACGCTACCGCTGTTGGGTGGCGGAGCACTAGCTACTCCTACTCCGGCAGCAGAACCTGAACCACCGTTCAGTTTGTACGGCGATGGCGGCTCTTGTTTGATGTCTTCCTGCTTGATATGTGGCTGCAGGTTGGCAGCGTCCTCCGGCTTGCTACCGCTGCTCTTGGGGCTAATGGGCATCGACTTAAAGGCGCCGCCTGTGGAACAATATTTTAGGGAATCCTTTGATTAGCATGGAATGTCATGATGTATATAAGCGGGGGTTTGCTCGCCTGTGGGTTGGAATGGTGTTACACCGATTGGATTCTTGGGACTAGTGTACTGCGTGTATATAGACATCTGGGTGTATGGCAGCATATTGCTCTCCAGCACGGGATGGGCCTTGATAGCCTTCGGTTTCAGTGTGATCTCACGTTCTCCTCCGCTGAGCGGCGGTACGTTCATGGCCTGGCCATTGGCACTGGATGCACTGTGCTCCTCCGACGAACGCTACAAATGTTATAAAAAGATATGTTAAATTCAGTTGCTAAGTAAAAAGTCATTGACTTACCTGATTCACCTCTGGCTGCTGTTTGCGATAGTCAAAGGGTGCGTCGTCCATGTCCGAGTCATTTACCCGCTCACGGCAGTGCAGGTCTAGCTTCTTGACGGGCTGTTGTGGCGGCTCATCCTCCACAACTAGCATTTGCTCGTCCTCGTCGGATGGCAGTTCGTTCTTCATCAGCTTGCCATTGCCGCTGGTCTTCATAGAAATGGTAGTTGGGGCCTCATCACAAGTGCTATTATAATTGTCGATCGTCAGCGGTATAATGTCGCCCTGCAGATCCGAGGATAAGCCCTGCCCACCACAGCTGCCACTGCCTCCTGGCGTTGAAGGGCACATGTCGTGTTCCTGGGAATCGGAGCCATCCACAGAAACAAGGCGCTGCTTGGCGTCACCCGTCCCGGCTGCACCGCCAGACTTTCCACCTGGTGTGGCTGTAGAAGTGGACGACTTGCGGCGATCCTTTGAGCACCATTTCCATTCTGGATGCAGCTTGAAATGCGCATCCTTCACGGAACTGGCCAGCTCATGGTATTGTGATTTCTGTTCTGGCTTCAGAGCATACCACCACTCGCCTAGGATCTTGCTAACTGTACGGTTGTCCTGATTCGGATGATTCTTGTGTACCATTTTGCGGTGCTTCTTTGAAAAGATCATGAAAGCGTTCATTGGTCTACGGATCTTCTTGTTCGCCGGCTGCCCAGCTGTGGCTCCTGCCGCACCAGACGTTTGTTGCTGCTGCTGCTGTTGTTGTTGTTGTTGTTGCAGAGCGCTCAAAGATTGACTCCTCCGCTTGGCAGCTGAAGTGGTTGGTGCACCAGCTGCACCATCGCTTGCATCATGGCACTCCTCCAGCTTGCGTATGTTGCTGTTATGGGTGGGCACTCGCGTGGCCGCCGTTTGTTTTTTGCTATTGGTGCTGATCCCGGGCGTCGTAGACTCAAATACATCATCGTCCAACTGATCGTCCGGCTCCTCCTGCTGCTGTTGCTGTTGTCTGTGGCTGGCAACCGCGGCCGCTGCTGCTGCCGCCGCCTTGGCATCGTTCATAGAGCAATTGAGTGGTTTTCCCGGCGAGCACAGAGGAGCGGGCACAATCAAATGATTGTTGTTGTGATTAAGCGGCATCTGCGGCGGCGATTGTTGTTGTTGTTGCTGTTGTTGCAGTTGCTGTTGCTGCTGTTGCAACATTACCATGTTGTAGCTGCTGGCCGATGTGGTCAAGGTCGGAGTGGCCGGAGCTGGCGGTGCCTTGCTCATCGGTGTCATATGCGGCAGCAACTTGAACCAGGGTGCATTGTAGCCTGTAAATAGAGGAAGAAGAGTGTAATGAATGGGATTAATAGTAAGTACTGGACAATATAGTGGTACCACTAATGTTGTGCTTTAGTTTAACATATAAATTTATGTTGCTTCAAGTATACGCTATATCTTAATATGACCGATCTAAATGATCAGAAAGTTTTACTTCGCTTAACTTACCATTTTTTTGCAACATCTTTTCCTGGCCCAAGGACGCCACTGTTGCTGATGTTGGAGTGGGCGTGTTGGGCGGATGAAATGAAACCGTTGTGGGCGGCAGGGGCACCTGCGTCAGCTGGGTGGCGTCTACAATCACAGGATGAAAAGTTTGACCGCCGGAGACCACGACATGAGGATGTTGTTGTTGTTGTTGTTGCTGCTGATGTTGCTGTTGACTGCTGGAAATGCGTATAACGCTGGTGGCATGACCCACGCTGTTGTTGTTGTTATTGCTGGTGGGTGGTGCTGATGGTGCTGGCAAACTGGCAGGTGGCGGCGGAGGTGGTTGGTGGTGCTGATGCTGCTGCTGCAGTTGGTGGTGCTGCGGCGGTGGGGCATGCATCACGAGCGAAACGGGCGTAGTTTGCGGCGGCAGTGGTTGAGTTCCAACAGATGATGTTGCTGCCGTAGCTGCAACATGAGTATTGTTGCTGTTGTTGTTGTTGCTGCTGCTGCTCGCCTCCCAGCCATTGTTATTGTTATTGCTGTTGCTGGCATTGTAGAGCACCGGACTGGGTGTTGTTTTCCACTTGGAGTCGAGCGGTACGACCACAGGTTGCTGCTGTTGTTGTTGCTGTTGCTGCTGCGACTGGTTGGCGATGGGCGTGAAAAAGTTCTGCCTGTGACTGGCGGACACATTAACCGGCGAATGGGCAATGGCATTTAGAGGAGAGGCTCCAGCATGGTTCACAGGTGAGGTGTACGAGGGCGTGGCAGATCGAGAGCTGCTCAGCGATACTGGAATAAAATATAGAAAACATATAACACGTTAAACTCTGTTTTTGTTAAATGTATAATCCTTTTTCTGTTCATTTTCGATCTAATTTTTTTTTGGCATTACATAAGCACTGTAGATAGAGTTTGGCCCCCAGCTCAAAGTCCTGGAACGCATTCATGACGTCCTTTCGCCGCTCCTCTGGAGCATTTCCACGAAAATCTGTGCACTTCGCCAGTGGCTGCTTTAAATACACTTTTCTGCCGTCGTGTAGTGTGTGTTGTCACATTCGCTTTGTCCGCTGCATTCGCATCGCTTTGCTTTTTCAACGTTCTTCACTTATATATTTTCTTGTGCTCTTGACAGTTCCCACTTTTCAGCATAAATGCGGCAATCGCCGATTCTTCAGCGATGTTCTTTCCAAGGGCAGCGGCAGCGACGTCAGCAGCATAAATCGAGCGCCGTTCTCTCTCTTGTACTCTCTTCTAAGCTCTCTTTCTCTCTTTCTTGCGCTCGCCATGTTTGTTTACCTGCCGTGTAGATGAGTTTCGTTTGAACATGTATGGGTGTGTGCGTGCCTGGCCGCTCTCAAGTGCATTTTTTGTTTAGGTAAAAACGAATCAAAGGCACAGGGCAAATAACAAGAAAAAGAGCTGAATAAAAGAAAAGAATCTGTTGCGCTTCGCACGCAGCCTCTGTCGACGTCGACGGCGCTGCCCTCGCTTTGTTTCGTCTCAAGTGGCTCTGCTGCAGCGATCGCGACTTCGTATACCTTTTGCAGGTGCTTAGGAATGCGTATTCACAGAGCCGGGGATAAGGGGGATTGAAAATGTGGGAAGGGTCTGAAGAAGTCCCAAAAAAAATCTGTCTCAGAACTTTAGCCATTTTATGGATACTACGAAAACTTAAAGCATTATTTTAATAGTTTAAGCTTTAAAGGGATCCTAAAAATATTTACTCGCTTCGAGATGTTTATAAAACCAAGACGGACATAAAATTTCTTTCAATTAATACAAAACCCCTTTTACAAAATCCTGCGTACGCCACTGTCTAAGCATCTCCCTTCGTCGCTGCTGCTGCGCAGTCGCAGCGTCTGGCGTGTAAATCAAGCTGCGGTCACACTCTCAAGTGGCCAGCGGGTGGGAGTGGGAGAAAGGGAGGGTTGATCTCTCGCTCTAGCCTGCGGACAATGGAACCCTTGATTCGTTTTCGGGATCGAAATTGGAATCGGACACAACCTTTGCGCCGCAGCAGCGACACCTTTCATGAAAAGCGGCGGACAGGCGGACGGACAAGCGACCTTTGTTGAGGTGTGTGAAAAATGGACAGGGGTCGATGAGGTAGAGGGAAAAAGAAAGAACTACGGCGCTGCCACAATAAAACTTTATGATATGCATTTTATGGTGAATTGGAAATGCATCGAACCAGAAAACAAGAGATGAAGAAAGGTCTCGGTTGTCACGACTGGACCAAGTGCGCTAACCTTTTTTAGAAATTGGGTAGGGCATCTACCTAAACGATCTAAAATTAACAACTGTTCAGAAGTCTGCGTCATCCATATTTATATTCCTTAGAATGCCAATGAAAGCATTAAACAAATTTACATAAAAAAATAAAGGATACATATTAATTAGGAACAGAAAACTCTGAAATCGACTAATAATCTGATAAAGTTGTACAAAATTATAGATAAAAAGCTAAAAAACCTTTTGTTTTTCTTAAACCTCTAAAGGTTCTTTTTTAGCTTATTTTAATGCCTGGCATTTATTTAATATTGATTGTAATTTCAGGTAGTTTCAAGACACAAGCCTAAAGAATAAAAATATTTATTTTCAATCATAAAATCTTTATGCATCGCTCAAGAAAAACCTCTTTATTGGACCGAATTTAATGTTTTAAAGGAGCTTAACAAGCCTTTTATTTTAGACCTGCTTTTTATGGTCTCTTAACGAACACTTTTTCCAGTGCCCAAGAAATTTGGTTCTGCCCTGAATGAAAGACCTTCGTGTCTTCTGCATTCCAAAGGAATACTTTAATGTGGGGGACCTCTGTAAAAGGGGTTTGGAGAAAAGAGGTTTACTGCACTGCGTAGGGTGCACAAAAGTTCTCCTGCCCTCAAAAGCAAAATCAAAGAAATTTTTCCAGAAGCGCCGTGAAGAATATCTTTTGGCCTTGTCTCACTAATTGCGTGAACCGTGATAGATTAACGGTTAAGCCGGCGCTGGCACAACGTTGGAAAGGGACGGCAGGAGGTAGTGAAAAGGCCAGCCTTGAAATGATTGCTGTAAACTATGAATAAATTGTTTGAGCCCAAGTTCCAAAACGGAATCTTAAATTCTTTTATGATGCCCTCTGTCGGATCGTAAAGAGTCAAGAGGTGTGAGTGGTGGTGCTACAACGTTAAGACTTACCCAGCATGACGGCCGCATCGGTCTCCTCCTGATCGTAGCGACCTTTTACCCGATAGTTGGGCGACGTCTCCGAGTCGCGTGAGGTGTCCTCATCGATCTGCGTCTTGCTGCTCGATCGGCTGTCACTAATAAATGAGATACAAGGTGAATTCACAGGTTAATTGAAAATGTATCCAATGCATAAGAAAAACATAACATTATCATTACATTTAAAACCCAAAATAAATTATATATGTATGTAGCTAAATGTGATCAATTTTTTGTATTTTAAGGGCCTTCTTACCCGTCTGAAAACGATAACCAAAACTAGATAAACATTTTTTTATAATTACGATGAAAGTTTTTTTAGAAAACCTATTTATAATATGTTAAAATAATAATACACTGTACGGTTTCATAAATTTCATTTAAATAAAGATGTTAAGTCCAACCTTAACAAATAAATAAACAAATATCGAATTTGTTCTTATTAATTGGCATTAAATTAATTTTTTTTCATTTATGTTTCTTAAATAACATGACGTTTTTTATAAAAGTTCCAACAATTTATATAAATCAAATCTAGCCTTTTAAACTTTTACTTTTAAAAGGACTATTAAAAAGATTACATAAATTGATTTTATAGCAGGAAAGCCGGAGATATAAACATACCTAAGCAAACGACCCGGACCCGTGGACGAGGGCAGGGCGCTGTTGTTGCCCTTTTGGTTGAGGTGCCGCGAGCAGTAGCCGCGCCGCTGAGATTCCTTGGTGCAGAGCATGCACAGGCGACGCCACTGCTTCCCGTTGTACTTCTTACGCACGCCGGACTCCGACTCCACGATGTCTCCCTTCTTGAAGCGGTGCGGCGTGGTGGCTTGAGATCTGTGGATGGCACTAGCATTAGCAAGCGGTAAAGGATATGGGAAAGTTATATATAAAAGTAACAAAAATTATCTTATATACACCCAATGGTTAAATAGTTTGCAACAAAAAATTTTATATTTTCCTAGTAGTAGGTAGTTCTTCTCACCTTGGTGTTGCTGGATGAGATCGTGGTGTGAGCCTCTGGTCGAGAAGACTGGACGTGCTGCCGCGGCTTTGCATGCTGCTGCGCTTGCTGCAGGCGCTCATCTTCTCCGTGTCCAGATCGCCGGCCGCTGGCGAGTATCCAATGCCGACCCTTTTCAGTTCGTCGTCCGAGTCATAGTCGTCGTAGACCCGCGATGACTGCTGCTGTTGCTGCATCTTGAGGTGCTGCCCATTGCTGCCCTGAGAGATCACGATGTCCGGCAGGCCGTTAGTCTGCTGGGGATGCGACTGTGCCGCCTGGGCCACTTGCTCCGCTCCGTGGGAAGGACCAGCGAATGAGGGTCGCGTCTGGAACGGCGAGGTGGCCGTCGTCCTATAATACTCTTCTTGTTTCACCAGATGCTGCTGTGATTGCTGGTGGGTGGGCGTTGGTGGAGCGGTGGGCAACTTGCCATCGTATCGGGTGGCCACAAACGTCAATGGCGTTCCGGTGGCCGCCTTGGGGTAAACGATATTGCCACTGGGCACAGCCATAGCTTCGCCAGCTCCTGATCCTCCAGCCGACACCTTTCGCTTACCACTGGGCGCGGGGACACTTGCTCCACCCGAAGGTGTCAGTTCGTTGAGCTCATCCCACCACGGGGGCTGCAAGAGCCGCAGATCGGCGCGACGCACTACCTTGGTGGCAGCCTGTAAAAATTTATAATATAATTTAAAATCAGAGATAAAAATTTGAGATTCAATAAGTCATATGAGCTCATTGGACTCACCATCTCATCGCCAATAAGTTGCACGCTATATTGCTTCGTGGCCTGGTTGATATCCGTAATGATGCCCTCCACGTAGACGAAACTGCCGGAGCCTCGACCTTCCACCCGCTGGCGCACACACACGCGGGCATCCAGAGTAATCTAATCGAAAAAGAAAAAAACTCCATTACAATATTTGACGTCCCAAAAAGAAAATTTCGTTCTGTGTACTTACATCCGCCATTGGCGGGCTAGCATCGAGTATCACATGGTTGCGGCCCTGGTGCAACACGTCCGGATATAAAAGCAATCCCAAATCGGTGGAATCGAATTCCACGAGTATTGAGTCGGGTGACGCCTCCTGCACTTGGCGTATAATCCCTGGGGCATAGTGATTGTGGATTTTGGCTAGGACACGCGTGTTGTTCCACTCGCTGAGATCGAGCAGGGATTGCTGCTGCTGCTGCTGGTGTTGTTCCTGTACATGTTGCTGATTGTTTGAATTAAAGCTAAAACGTTGTTGCTGTTGCTGCTGCTGTTGGTACAAGACGGCGGTTGTGGGCGTTTGTGTGCGTTGCTGATGATTGATTGTGGCTGCGTGACTATTGTTGCCGCTGGCAACATGTTGCTTGTAAGTACTACCGCTGGCATGTTGCAGCGGGGATGCAATGATAATACGTTGCTGTTGCTGCTGTTTGATATCGCTGCTATTGTTGCTATTGCTACTGTTGTTGCTGGCGCCTGCACCGCAACTCACGATCATGCGATTTAGCTGATTGCCGTTGGCCAGGTTATCGCTGTTGCCATTAGTATCGGCGGGTTTCTGCTGCTTTTGCAGACTCAGTTGTTGTTGTTGCTGCTGCTGTTGGGGATGCTGCTCCGTTTTGTCCAGCTCGGCTGGATCGAACTTTCGCTTCTTGGGATGTTGCCGCGGCTGAGGTGGTTGCTGTTGCTGAGGTGTGCTGGTTACTGCTGTTGCTGTTGTTGTCTGAAGGTGCGGCTGGAACAGCACATGTTGCTGATGTTGCTGCTGTTGTTGCTGTTGCTGCTGCTGCTGATGATGATTTTGCTGCGTTGCTGTTGACTCGGCGGCTGCTGTTGTTGTTGCTGTTGGTATACCGGCGATTGTTGCTCCCGTTGCTGGTATCACCATTTTGTTAGCTGCAACAACAAAGACTTGTTGCTGCTGCTGCTGCTGTTGCTGCTGTTTGTTTGTTATGACATAAGTCTCGGCTGCGGCAATCGCGGATGCTGCTGCTGCTCCATGTGTTGCTGTTGCAGTTGCATTGGCAGCGCTGAGCATCTTAGTTGTGGCGGCAGCAACATGTGTATAGCTTGTTGTGGGGGAACGAGGAGTTGGTGTGGTTGGGTTGGTTTGTTTTTCCTTCGTCTGGCTTTGCTAGTGTTGCTACTGCAACGTCGGTGACATCAGCAGCATCCTTCCTGCAATCGAAGCGAAAGGCGAGAAAATTTGTTAATTAAGTTGACAACAGAAAACCATTAAAATCAACGACGCCGTTGTCGATGTCATTTCATAATTAGTGTAATCCGCATCCGGACAACCCTGACATCCTGCCACGATCCGCAGGACTCGCAGAAACTCCGGCGCCCGACGTCAGGCCATAAAATTCAATCTCGCCCAACTATGGCTCGTTTCTGTCTGTGTGGGAATTTGCAACAACGACGACAACGGAAACATTTTAATTTGCACAGACGTCCAGTGGTCTGGGTACTGCTTGTGGGCGGTGGGCGTGGCCGTAGTCGGCATAAAAAAAGGGTAAAAATGAAATATAAATGACACTTGAAACATTTTATGCCAAAGCCACACAGACAAACGGACGTACAGTTGCACAAAAAGTCAAAATCATCCAGCAACCACAAATATACACACATACAAATCGTAGACGCAATCTGCATCAGCCTCGACTTTCAAAAGGTGAATGTAAAGGGTTAAGTCCTTAAAGGCTTACACATACTAACATAGCAACGAGTATTTCCGAATAAACTTAATCATCTCATTACGATTGACGATGACGAAATTGCGTTTCATTCAGTAACTTGCAGCTCAAACGGGCTATAGGCATTTATTATGCATTTCAGAAGACCATCTTAATGGGCCAAAAGTTCTTACATATTTTTAAGGAAAATATTTCAACTTGAGAAGTTTTGAGTTATAAAATGGAACTTGAATGTAGGATATAAAAAAACTATTTATTTATAACGTTTTATAAGTTATTACTTTCCTAGTCACGGAGTTAGTAAAATACAAATTAATTGAGTCTATCGACGTCAAAAATTCTATAACTTAACGCCCCTACCCGATAGTAAAATTCTCCGACCCAAACCAACATATTTCCCCATTTATTTTCATCCATTTTCGCCCTCAATTCATCAGACGACGAGGCTCACAAAAAGTGTTGCATACTTGTGGGCATGATACGTATACGACCGTTAGCCAGAGTTGCCACATCACGCTGGCAGCTGCTGCGAATACGGCTTATCGCAGGAGCAACTCCTCCATTTCCATTTCCATTCCCATTTTCCATCCACAATCCGCATCCATCTACATCGGTATATATATATATATCGGCCCCCAACTCAGGTCGCTTGTGTGTAGGCGTAATTGCGGGAAATGACTGCCACGCCCATTGTGGGCGAGCTCTTAAACCCATACACACACACAAATGCTCTGCCACACAAACACAGTGAAAACGAAGCTAAATTGAAGCAACGTAGCAACCAGGAATGAATAAAAAAATGAGAAAAAACCTGCAGCCTTGGCCATATTGTTGTTGCAGTTAGTTGTTGCTGCTGCGCGGGACAAGTGCAATGATTGCTTTATTTTCCTCCCTCGACCATATTTTCTTTTTCCTGCTCGTTTTTCACAACTTTGCTTTTCATTACTGCGGCCAGGGCTTTCGCGCTTTCGGTTGCTAGGCTGCCACTAGCGACTTGCAATTGTTAGGAAAAATCCACAAGGGCGGCGTTGCAGAGGCGAGAAGAAGACGCTGAAAGGTGGCAGACACGGTGTCTGGTACAGTTGTTAGGGCAATCGCGGAAAATGTCAAGAAGTACAGTGAAAAATTGATATATTAAATAAGGAAATTAGGCCAGAAAATATAGTTTTTTTTAATTGTGGGCGAAATCACATGGTAAGTCCTATGTTTTCTCACTTTAAGATCGATGTTGTCTTTGCCGAAAATTGGATTTACAGGATCGAATTCAAAGTATATTTTTGGTGATCTCACTTATCAAAAAAAGAACTACATTTTAAGTAGATTTTGAAACTATTTAATGCTCTCAGCCCTTATCTTTTCTCTTGTGACTTATGTATTTATATACTCATACATTTCTCCCAGTGCAATTGACGGCTTTTCGCAGAAGAAGAAGAAAATGTTCTGTCAGAATGGCAGTAAGCTGAATATGATGCCTTCCCAGATGATGGCTCAGCTTAAGGATCAAGCTAAAAACTCGACTTGTGGCGTCAGCAAGTTGAGTTTGCGATTAGTTGGACACATGAACACACCACTGCTCCTAACCCTCCTTTTACATCTCCTCCTAGCCATGCATCTCTCACACACATTCACATCCGCACAACACAGTGGCAAGCTTATGCACATATTTATAAAGCTTTTATGTAAATAACTGCATATCTTCTATATTTGTTCATGCGTTGCAGCATAGGGCGTGTGTGGGAGTGTTCTGTGAGTCTGAACGTGTATGTGTATGCTCAGTCACAGAAAACGACATTAAAAAGTAAAGGAAAAAGGGGGCAAATGAGGGTGAAATGGGTGGAAGGTTGCTACCGATGCGTGCCTAAGTAAATCTAGCCATATCCACCTCTCTCAACTTAACTTGCATGACTGGGAATCCGGATCTTGTGTGCGATTCACAGCTTTGGACAGATAGTGAAATATGCTATGTGACTGAAATTAACTGAACATGGTTATCTCAAGATCGCTAATTAGTGCATTCCCAACTTTTTATTTATTATGGTTTAATGGTAATCCGATAGTATTATTGTGGAAAACGGAATTGTATTTATGATATGCTTAATACTTACATAAGTAACAGTTTGATCTTTAGAACCAATAAAAGCTGCTTAGTGATGCTTACAATATTTCCCCTTTATAAACTAAAAACGATTATTATCCTTCATTGATGATTATCTTTTCTGTGGATGTAAATCTGTTAAATTGCCAAACAATGGGATTTACATACTTGCAATTTAACTAGAAAAACAAAAAACCTTGCAATGCAATGTGATCATTATTACAGTTATCTGTTTATTGTAGTCACCATTGCCAAAATTTCAGGAATTTTTTGTTTGCATGTGTTTTAGGGAAACGTGTATTTGTTAATTTGTGTTTGTGTGAAGGTTTGAGTGTGGGTTTGGTGTGAGCGTGAGTGCGAGTGTGTCTGTTTCAATTGCCATCATTTCCATCTGCATTGTCTTTATTGTTGCCATTGTTGCTTTTTATGATGTGGTTCAGCAACTGCATTTGGCATGCATGTCAATTTCTTGTGCTCTCATTGCACTTGGTTTTTGCTGTTATTGTTTTAGTTAGTTATTGTTGGCTGCTGTTGTTAATTGGCATATTCAGTTTTATGATGCAAATACACACAAACACTAATACTAATGCCAACGCGATCGATCTCAATGCAGTCGTGCTAAATTGAATGCAAAACATGCGTGCGAACGAGACGTCTGTGATGTGTGTGAGATAGTATAGTGCATTTGTTACACACAGAAAAATAAGTAAAACCTCAAAAATGTTCACACGAATATTATAATTAAACGCACTGATAAAAATGTGTTTGAGACAGAATACACGTTCCTATTTAACTTTTTATCGTCCAAAAATATAAGAAAAGAAACTACGGAATATAAAAAGTAATGATTTTCCAATTCAATTACTATTCTCATTGCACATTCATATTTATTTCTGTGTAAATTTGTTATGGACATGGAAGAATGTAATTAGATGAGAGTTCCTTGAACCCTAACGGTCATTTGTTTTGGCGCCAAATCGAAAACGAAACGAAACGAAAAGTGTAGAACACACGAGCAAAGAAGAGAGCAAGCCGAAAAGTCCATGCAGAAAGTTAATCTCGCACTAACTCCCTCTCTTTTCCTCATCCACTCACTGTGCTACTCCCCCCTCTTTCGTTCTCGCTCGCTCCCTCCCCCACTCATTGCACTTAGCAACGGTACAAACGCATCGACAGAGCTGCCAACGTCGCTGCCCGGCTGCTGCAATGTCAGTAACCCCACTCGAGCGAAAGAGCGAGATGGATTGTGAGAAAGAAAGAGAGAGGTAATGGGGGAGTGCAGTTAGCGTTGTGAGTTTGTTTGCTGTGATTTTTCTATGCATATTTTTTCTGCCATTTTTACGTTGTATTTTATGCTGTTGCCAACTCGTCAACAATCCTTCGCCCATTCTCCAAATCAACCGAAACCAAAGCAAAAAAAAAAAAAAATCAAAAGTACGCTCTTAGTCATTCAAAGCAGGCAACAACAAAATAATGCAGCAGCATCAAGTGAGAGTGAGTTGTGCGCAGGAAACAGCTCCTTTCCCTTCCGCTGCCCTTCTCCTAACCCACCACCTACTCTCTTCTCCTTCTGCTTCCCTTTTTCTCTCCAGGAAAAATCAGAGAACGAGGAACGCCGAATGCCGCTCATTTGCGTAGAGTAAATGCAAGCAACTCGTGCATTCGTCTCCCCTTTTCACAATCTGCCTCCCACATCACGTACACACACACGAGCTTGCGTACACACACATGGGCACGAATGAATGCAATGCGCTGCAGCAGTAGCAACGACAACAAGAACTACGACAGTAGGAGCTAGGAGGATTTTACATTGGCGCGTGTTACAGTGATAAACACCACTGGTCGCAAAAATATTCAAGACTCAAATACTTCCATCGAATATTTTTTTTACTTACGTGCAACCTTTAAAACATAATAGTTTTATAAATCTAAATAAATTAAATTATCTAAATATATAATATTCTAAAGTTCAACCTAGTAATGCTCGTAAGTATTCAGAGAAACAAGACTTAATAGTTAAATAAAATATATGTAGATCATTAAATATTCGGATTAAGAGAGCCACTGCAAAATGGATAAGTTCAACATTTTCCATTGACTTTTAGAAATAAGTCATAATAATTTAATAAGTCATTCTTAATTTAGTAATATTTATCCTACTTTTTTGTCCTCGCCTGTGACTTCTACACGCAGTGTGTTTGCTGGTGTGTCTTTACAGCCTTTACTCATTTTTAGCTTTTCGCTTTTGCATGGCGTAAATTATTTGTATGCGCTGTGCTTGAGCTTATGCGGTTGTCGTTGTTGTTGTTGCTGGCTCTGTTGTTGCAATTGCACTATGAGAAAAATAAGAATGCAGTGGAAAAGAATGAAAAAGGCTGATGCGGGATGTT